CTGCCTTGGCAATTGTGTTTTGAAGTTGTCTAATTGTGTTTTTTATGAAGACGACTGGAGTGTGGCGCGACCTTCCACCGTATACCAGCTGGGCCAGACTCTGCATGTCGAGGCGAGCGTGCAGACACTGAACCACGTTCCACTCCGGATCTTCGTGGTCAGCTGCCTTGCAACCCCGGTTCCGGACAGGAACTCTCCCCTCGGCTACCAATTAATTTCTAACTCTGGGTGAGATTCATCTCCTAATCGCACATAATGAATGTTTCTGGTCCTTTATATAGGTGGCATTGTTCGCAGTATGTACAACAGAGCCCTGGCCTTGCAATGCCCCTGAATCTGGCTCTGGTGGCTAAGCAGGGCCAGATGCATGGTTAATGCTTTTCCTCATGATCTGTCCACTGACAGATGCAGTCAATGTGCGTCATTGACTCTGCTTTGACTTACAATGGGTGGGGGTGTGTGAACGCCCCTACTTTTGCAGCGGTGGGCTTGGTACAGTCTGCGTTAAAGTATTATACACGATCCTAAAGTGCTAGGCTGCCCTATGTAAAGCCACGTGTCCATACGTCTACGGTGTCTGTGCAGGTGTCTGGTGGATGGCAAAGTCTCGTATGATACTCACCTTACTTCTGGCTTCCTGCTCCGGCAAAGTGACAACGTCCTTCGCTTCTTCATAGATTCCTTCCGCTTCCTTACAACGTTGACCAACAATGGCGATCAGGTGATGTACTGTCATACAGGTTTTTACAGAATTAAAACCCTTTAGCAACTAGTAGACAGAGTGGTTGAGTAAACCCATCTTCCTCTGTCCAGGTTTTCATCTTCTGCCAGCTGAAGGTTGCAGATGTTGCTACATCTCCAACGACCGTTAATAAAGCTTGCACCTACAGCCCCTTGGCTGCATACAGGTTTGTCTGCTTTCTTGAGTTGCCCAGTCTCTCTTCGGGGCATTCGATACATGGCTGCAGTGTAGAATGCGCCATGTATGTATGTTTGAACAAGATCCCTGAGACCTTTGATTCCGTGCTACAAGTGACGCCACTTGCCACGGTACCGCAGCCATTGATGTCCTTTCCCACTAGTCTGCTCGAGTCTTGGTATATTCTAGGAGATTTGTCGTGGCCAACACTTGTTGCGTTCATGTTTGGGAAAACAGCATTTTACATTGGCTTCTTTTGTTCAGCTGTGTTTTTGTAATGCCACTAACCAGTGGGTCGTGCTATGAACCTGGTCCCCCAGAGAACCTCGCTCATTCCTAAAGTCGGTGGTAAACAATTAAATAAAGGCCCGAACCTCTCTGGTACTCTTGTTTGACGTGCAAAGCTGGTGTCCAACTGCACTGGAAGTGGTGTTGGCCACTACCCCTTAATGCTATAAATGCTTTGGGATACCTGTGCTGTTATTCCCTTGCTGTACAGGTGGTCTGCCTTTTTTAAAAATCCTTTATATTAAGTTCGCTTGCTTAGGACCGTGCAAATCTTTCAGTCGTTTTTTAACCCACTTCCCGTGATCCAATCGAGCTGACATTTTCCACACAGACTCATTGTGCGTGACAATGTTCGTGAATTTTTTTTCTCAATTTTACACCTTTTAGGACAAAAATATTATATTTAATTACCAATTGCTTAATGGTGCCATGCAAGCCGGAGGGCTCTAGCCGCCACGCATATAAAATATTTATAGTGAAAAACTTTGTTTTTACGGGTTATACTTGTTATATACTTATGAAGTTACGACCTTGAACCAGGGTTGTTCCTGACCACCACTCGGGTCGGGAGGGTGGCATCTAAACTGGCTCAACCCTCCATACGTGGTGTTGTAAACGTCGGTGGTCGAGCATGAGACTGGCCACAACCACTGCTGCTGGCCTAAACGGCTGCTCCAATCGGCTCTTGCCTCATTGGAATACTATGGTGAGCTTTGAAACTACAGTTGGCATTTGTGGCGTGTGTGCAATGCAGGTGGGTCTCTGCTGATGGCTCGGACTCGGTATGCAGCTGCTGCGAGTCCACGTGCCCCAGTGGAAGAAGGCGCAGGGATGTGGCAGCAGTGACTGGTGAGTACAACCGTCTTAACCAGTCTGTTTAAGGCGATTCCTTAAATGACTCTTGAATATTATGATGGGGGGGGGGGGGGTGTTTGTAAAATCCTTCGATATTTAAACATTGCCGTGTACCCAACCCTATTATTTGGGTAATCAAATTTGAAATGAGTACTGTGCCAAAACTTGATAAGAAAAACCATTTACGAAGCATTTCTATACAATAATCCAAAGTGGCTTTTTTTTTTTTACGTGGTGGGGAACTAGCTCCGATGGTTATGAAACTGAACTCGACCTGATGACCCGAGGTAGATTCCAAAGAACACAGGATGAGATGTTACTATCCTTTGTGCAAGCACTTCCAAGAGTTCATGAACAGTGAGCCTGGTGAAATTTGGGGCGCGCATCGTCAGTAGTGACCCTTTGGTTCCTAGGGTGTTTCGGCCTTTCATACTATACACCCTCTCCAAAGGCGGCCAGCGACAGGGTGATCAATCCTACGCTTGCGTCCCATTCCCAATTAGTCATAGGAGTTGCCTTGTTGTTGTTAGCCAACATCCCATGGGACTATGCATGGCAGGGGCGTCCTCCTCCCTGAGTCAAGCATTGTTGACTGCTCACGCCTAACACCATAAATGATCTGAACTGATCATGGTGTGACTCATCCTTAAGTTGTAGAATGTGGAACTATTGCCACCAAAGTGGCTGGCTGCGGTTCTGGTCACCCCCCCCCCCCCCTCGTGTGCCATGCCTGCCCTTCTAGATGCTCGCCAACAACACCTGCGTGACGATCTGCATATTATATGGTACTTCTGGGTACAGGTATACACGTGAGCCAAACTAACTCGCGTGATTAGCTAAAGTGATATACAAAGGCTGACTGCGATAGGGTTAAATCGTGAACGATAAATCTACGATCTTCAAGTGTCTCCTATGCAGTAGATCTTGTGAACTCTAATTATAAGAGATTTCTCTGTTTGCAAACCATGCTCCCAACTATAGACCCTTGGGTAAACATTTTCTGAATTGAAGTTCTCCCATGCAAAGCATTTAACATGGATCTTTGACGCATGAGATTCTTTGGGAACTTCTGCAGGTACTTAAAACGCCTCCTGTGGTGCTACAGTAAGAAGTCGAAAATGTGCTCTCCTACTCACCAATGACCTTGTAATTCAAATAACCCCTTGTTTGAATGCAATCGGGTAATATGGACTTCAAAAGACCGAGCTATTTAGCCTGGGCATGCGCCACCTATAACAAAATGTGGTCCCCTTGCTCTCAGGGCCGTCGTATGCTGCAGAAGATGTGATGCTGGGCCCCATCGTAATTGCCAAGCCCTTCTCCGATAATGCTGAGCCAAGCAGCCCTGAAAAACGGCAGCAGTCACGGGTCTCCACATCTGTATCCACAGGTAAAACTTCCAGATTCTAATTGAGGCTAAACCAGGCCCTCCATCAGGAAGTCCATCTAATGTTGACTTCTTGAATTGGCAGTCTCTAATACTTACTATTTATATGGACCTTCATGCTATTTGGGCAGAAATTTAGTTTTGGAAGTCTTCCTCCCATTTATCAGCCTGCCATCCATACCCAACTGCACCCCCACTTCCCCCCATAACTAACTGAGAAAGTGCAATACACGGATATTACAGCAGTGCTATCAAATGTCCACCAGACGTCGCTATAATTTTCATGAAGTGGCCTTTAGTTGTAAGAGGTAATATTTAAGATGGCAAGCGTGTTAATCGATTGCATGGTTTTTAATCAAGATGCATTACAGGGCTGTGCTTGTCAAGCTGAACTACACCAATCCCACCAAGGTTAAATGGCTAAACTTACTGGTGATATTTTTGAACGACACCTTTACCAAATAGTAGGAAAGGTCGATGCCCCCACGACCTCCACAGCATGTGGAAACCCTAGCTTAATGGCTACGCATTTACTCGCCATCCCTTGCACTCAATTAATGGTGATTTTTGCAGGTGCCGCTCCCATTCTTGGTTTGGGAGTGGCTGCACTGGTGATGGCTGTCGCAGCAAGTGCCACGGTGGCTTTGTTTGTTTCGAAGAGGCAGCGCACGATTCCTTCAAAGGGATTGGAAACGAGCTTCTGATTTACCATTTGCGTTTCTAAACTTGTGATTTAATAAAACTCTGCATTTACCTCTGCTGCTGTGGTCAGTTGCTTTTTATGTTATCGTTTTTCTATACAGCTATCTTGCTGAATGGCCATAATCCTGGCCAACACGTGGCTACAGTTAAAACACCCTTTGGCTTTAAGCCTATAACACTGTTCGGCTCGGTGTGGACGGACTAATCTGCGGCTATACTTCTGCCCACTCTGATTGGCCGCTTCATACATCAATGTCGTCTGCTTGGTGGAACACATCAGATGCCCCAGGCAGGGCATTTTCAGATAGCTGAATGTGGTGGTGCCTATTACTGGCTTCACAAATATGGCTGCACTATGTAAAATTTGAGCTAAATGACGTAGAGCTGCTGTTGGCATTGGAGCTTGTACTGTCTGCAGTCTGTTCCATGCATTTTGTCCCACTTATGTGGGGTCTGCTTACTCTCTATATATTGTCTTTGTTTGCATTTTGACCACAAATATTGGTTAGTGCAGACATCATTCTTTTGGAAAAGGTTTCAGTTTGTTTTAACAACTTAACGCCTGTTTTGTTGCCAGAGAAGGGGAAACTTATTCTCATTTTGGTACTGGCAAAGGAGATCCCATGATGGAGGGGGGGGGGGGGGGGTTAAGCGCGGTGGGACTATGCACAGCGTGCGGTGCAGGCTCCTGTTGAGAGAGTGAGTGTCAGCCAGCTAGGGTTAAGTTGGGGGCATGATACTCTGGGACACGTGACCGGATGAAACTGGAGGGGGGCCACCGGTGGAGGGGGCCAATGGGTGGTAACGTGGTCCAAGAAGAACTCGAGCTTTAGGTCAAGGGCAAGAGAGATGGAGAAGGTGGGCAGGGTGAGAGGCGGAGCCAGCTCAGCCCGATTTATAAGGGGGGCCCTGTGAGGGGCTCAGGGTTCTTACTGTTGGAGAGGCAGGAGATCCACGTCAAGCTTGAAGCCTCAAGCCACACGGTCTGGGACCCAGATTCTGGTCCGGACGGGGATAGTGGAACCGTGTCTAGTTCTGCCATAGCGTGGTTAGTTGGGTGGTCACCACCCGAGAGTGTGTTAATAGCCTGGAGTATGTTGTGCTAAAAGTTTAATAAAACGTGTTGCTCCCAAGACCATGTCTGCGACTCCGTTGAACTCGCTACACATTTAAGAACATTTGACAAGGAACCTCCTATTTAACAAACATCTTCCCAAAACATCTAGTGCCTCCTGAATATCCTAGTCACTGATGATACTGCATAAAATAAAACTTTTACTTCCATAATCTTACCTATAAACGTATTTTTTATCTGTCTGTCTGTGCACACTTATCCTTGCAACACTTTTAACTGACAAACTATTGGGCTTACATTTCAACAAAGTACACAGCCTCCAGATGAAAACGCGCTATTTGTTTTTGCTCTTGGTCAAATGTAAACTAATAAAATCGCACATTTTCACAATTTATTATGACGCTGATCGCGGCGCCCAAGCACGCATCTCCTCATGCGCAGAAACGCTGACTCGCGGTTTCCTCTAACAACGCAAAACGAGCTTGCTGAGCGGCGACGAGAGCGAGGTTTTCCTTCGCGTAAAAAAGACGAAAATGTAAAAAATCAAGCACTATCACTGCTGCACAACCACTCTGTTCAGGTAAATCCTGAACAGTGTGATTTCCTCTTCTCCCCGCACCCAAGGGGGGCAGTTACTACACCTGGTGCCATGGGTTTTTACCCGAGGGGCCCCTAGTGGGGATGTCCCACGGTTTCACAGTGCCAGGAGATTGGCCGACCCCCCCCCCTCCCCCCCAGGCCAAATTGCGTTGCGGCACCTGTACATTGTCTTAAAATTCTAGATTTGAAGCTTTCGTGACTGCAAGGATTCATATTCTTGAGAATGATTTTATTAATTTAATTTTATTATGTTTTATTTTTATTATTTTATTACTTCCCTTCTACGTGGTGACTTTACCGAAAGAACCAAGAAGATGAATCCCTGCAGTCACGAAAGCTTTAAATCGAAATATGGCTTAAAATTGTCTGCGGTTAGCAATGAGACACTCACAGCACGGGGAAGGGGTCAGGGTGGGACATTTTACGCGGACAGCGCAGACGATACGAGGAGTTGGGAGGGAAATTCCTGGACCCACTGCAGATTGTGTATTCCGCGGGACAAGCCACCCCATCAAACCGGTTGAGTTCAGGGTGGGGAGGACGGGGGGCGTAGACAATGGATCGAGGCGTAATGGGAAAGCAAATGTTTGTTATCTGATGTTGTTGTTGTTGTCTGATGTTGTCTGATGTCTGATGTTGTTGTCTGATGTTGTCTGATGTTGTTGTTGTCTGTTGTTGTTGTCTGATGTTGTTGTTGTTGTCTGATGTTGTTATTGTCTGATGTTATTGTCTGATGTTGTTATTGTCTGATGTTGTCTGATGTTGTTGTTGTCTGTTGTTGTTGTCTGATGTTGTTGTCTGTTGTTGTTATTGTCTGATGTTATTGTCTGATGTTATTGTCTGATGTTGTTGTCTGATGTTGTTGTTGTCTGTTGTTGTTGTTGTTTGTTGTTGTGTTGTTATTGTCTGTTGTTGTTGTCTGTTGTTATTGTCTGATGTTGTTGTTGTCTGTTGTTATTGTCTGATGTTGTTGTTGTCTGTTGTTATTGTCTGATGTTGTTGTCTGATGTTGTTATTGTCTGTTGTTGTTGTCTGTTGTTATTGTCTGTTGTTGTTGTCTGATGTTATTGTCTGTTGTTATTGTCTGTTGTGTCTGATGTTGTTGTCTGTTGTGTCTGATGTTGTTGTCTGATGTTGTTGTTGTCTGCTGTTGTCTGATGTTATTGTCTGATGTTGTTGTCTGATGTCGTTGTCTAATGTTGATGTTGTTATTATCTGATGTTATTATCTGATGTTGTTGTCTGATGTCTGATGTTGTTGTCTGTCTGATGTTGTTGTTGTCTGATGTTGTTGTCTGATGTTGTTGTCTGATGTCGTTGTCTAATGTTGATGTTGTTATTATCTGATGTTGTTGTCTGATGTCTGATGTTGTCTGATGTCGTTGTCTGATGTTGTTGTCTGATGTTGTCTGATGTTATTGTCTGATGTCGTTGTCTGATGTTGTTGTCTGATGTTATTGTCTGATGTTGTCTGATGTTATTGTCTGATGTTGTTGTCTGATGTTGTTATTGTCTGATGTCTGATGTTGTCTGATGTCGTTGTCTGATGTTGTTGTTGTCTGATGTTGTTGTCTGATGTCGTTGTCTGATGTTGATGTTGTTGTCTGATGTTGTTGTCTGATGTTATTGTCTGATGTTGTTATTATCTGATGTTGTTGTCTGATGTTGTTGTTGTCTGATGTTGTTGTCTGATGTCGTTGTCTGTTGTCTGATGTTGTTGTCTGATGTTGTTGTCTGATGTTGTTGTCTGTTGTCTGATGTTGTCTGATGTTGTCTGATGTTGTTGTCTGATGTTGTTGTTGTCTGATGTTGTTGTTGTCTGATGTTGTTGTTGTCTGATGTTGTTGTTGTCTGATGTTGTTGTTGTCTGATGTTGTTGTTGTCTGATGTTGTTGTTGTCTGATGTTGTTGTTGTCTGATGTTGTTGTTGTCTGAAGTTGTTGTCTGATGTTGTCTGATGTTGTCTGATGTTGTTGTCTGATGTCGTTGTCTGATGTTGATGTTGTTATTATCTGATGTTGTCTGATGTTGTTGTTTGATGTTGTTGTCTGATGTCGTTGTCTGATGTTGATGTTGTTATTATCTGATGTTGTTGTCTGATGTTTTTGTTTGATGTTGTTGTCTGATGTCGTTGTCTGATGTTGATGTTGTTATTATCTGATGTTGTTGTCTGATGTTGTTGTTTGATGTTGTTGTCTGATGTCGTTGTCTGATATCGTTGTCTGATGTCGTTGTTGTCTGATGTCGTTGTCTGATGTTGATGTTGTTGTCTGATGTTGTTGTCTGATGTTGTTGTCTGTTGTTGTTGTTGTCTGATGTTGTTATTGTCTGATGTCTGATGTTGTTGTCTGATGTTGTTATTGTCTGATGTTGTCTGATGTTGTTGTTGTCTGATGTCGTTGTCTGATGTTGTTGTTGTCTGATGTTGTTGTCTGTTGTTGTTATTGTCTGATGTTGTCTGATGTTATTGTCTGATGTTGTTGTCTGATGTTGTTGTTGTCTGTTGTTGATGTTGTTGTCTGATGTTGTTGTGTTGTTATTGTCTGTTGTTGTTGTCTGTTGTTATTGTCTGATGTTGTTGTCTGATGTTGTTGTTGTCTGTTGTTATTGTCTGTTGTTGTTGTCTGATGTTGTTGTCTGATGTTGTTATTGTCTGTTGTTGTCTGTTGTTATTGTCTGTTGTTGTCTGATGTTGTTATTGTCTGTTGTTGTTGTCTGTTGTTATTGTCTGATGTTGTTGTCTGATGTTGTTATTGTCTGTTGTTGTTGTCTGATGTTGTTATTGTCTGTTGTTGTTGTCTGTTGTTGTTGTCTGTTGTTATTGTCTGTTGTTGTTGTCTGTTGTTATTGTCTGTTGTTGTTGTCTGATGTTGTTATTGTCTGTTGTTGTTGTCTGTTGTTATTGTCTGTTGTTGTTGTCTGTTGTTATTGTCTGATGTTGTTGTCTGTTGTTATTGTCTGTTGTTGTCTGCTGTTGTTATTGTCTGATGTTGTTATTGTCTGATGTTGTTGTCTGATGTTGTCTGATGTTATTGTCTGATGTCGTTGTCTAATGTTGATGTTGTTATTATCTGATGTTATTATCTGATGTTGTTGTCTGATGTCTGATGTTGTTGTCTGTCTGATGTTGTTGTCTGTTGTTGTCGTTATCTGATGTTGTTGTTGTCTGATGTTGTTGTTGTCTGATGTTGTTGTCTGATGTTGTTGTCTGATGTCGTTGTCTAATGTTGATGTTATTATCTGATGTTGTTTTCTGATGTCTGATGTTGTCTGATGTCGTTGTCTGATGTTGTTGTCTGATGTCGTTGTCTGATGTTATTGTCTGATGTTGTCTGATGTTATTGTCTGATGTTGTTGTCTGATGTTGTTATTGTCTGATGTCTGATGTTGTCTGATGTCGTTGTCTGATGTTGTTGTTGTCTGATGTTGTTGTCTGATGTCGTTGTCTGATGTTGATGTTGTTGTCTGATGTTGTTGTCTGATGTTGTTATTATCTGATGTTGTTATTATCTAATGTTATTATCTGATGTTGTTGTCTGATGTTGTTGTTGTCTGATGTTGTTGTCTGATGTTGATGTTGTTGTCTGATGTTGTTGTCTGTTGTTGTTGTCTGATGTTGTTGTCTGATGTTGTTGTCTGTTGTTGTTGTTGTTGTCTGATGTTGTTATTGTCTGATGTCTGATGTTGTTGTCTGATGTTGTCTGATGTTGTTGTCTGATGTCGTTGTCTGATGTTGATGTTGTTATTATCTGATGTTGTTGTCTGATGTTGTTGTTTGATGTTGTTGTCTGATGTCGTTGTCTGATGTTGTTGTCTGATGTCGTTGTCTGATATCGTTGTCTGATGTCGTTGTTGTTGTCTGATGTCGTTGTTGTCTGATGTCGTTGTCTGATGTTGATGTTGTTGTCTGATGTTGTTGTCTGTTGTTGTTGTTGTCTGATGTTGTTATTGTCTGATGTTGTTGTCTGATGTTGTTATTGTCTGATGTTGTCTGATGTTGTTGTCTGATGTCGTTGTCTGATGTTGATGTTGTTATTATCTGATGTTGTTGTCTGATGTCTGATGTTGTCTGATGTTGGTATCTGTTGTTGTTGTCTGATGTTGTTGTTTGATATTGTTGTCTGATGTCGTTGTTGTTGTCTGATGTTTTCGTTGTCTGATGTCGTTGTTGTTGTCTAATGTTGTTGTTGTCTGATGTCGTTGTCGTCTGATGTTGTTGTTGTCTGTGCGTGTGAACGTTAAGTGAAAGTGCATTGCCGCTCGTAGCGGATTGTGACCAGAGACGCTGTTCGCCGCGGTCTCCAAGTCTCGAATCGGCGCTCGGCGCTGTTCGCCGCGGTCCCCAAGTCTCGAATCGGCGCTCGGCGCTGTTCGCCGCGGTCCCCAAGTCTCGAATCGGCGCTGGGCGCTGTTCGCCGCGGTCTCCAAGTCTCGAATCGGCGCTCGGCGCTGTTCGCCGCGGTCTCCAAGTCTCGAATCGGCGCTCGGCGCTGTTCGCCGCGGTCCCCAAGTCTCGAATCGGCGCTGGGCGCTGTTCGCCGCGGTCTCCAAGTCTCGAATCGGCGCTCGGCGCTGTTCGCCGCGGTCCCCAAGTCTCGAATCGGCGCTCGGCGCTGTTCGCCGCGGTCCCCAAGTCTCGAATCGGCGCTCGGCGCTGTTCGCCGCGGTCCCCAAGTCTCGAATCGGCGCTGGGCGCTGTTCGCCGCGGTCCCCAAGTCTCGAATTGGCGCTCGGCGCTGTTCGCCGCGGTCCCCAAGTCTCGAATCGGCGCTCGGCGCTGTTCGCCGCGGTCCCCAAGTCTCGAATCGGCGCTCGCGGCGGTTCCGCTGCCTCCGAGCGCCAAGGGAGACGCGGGACACGGCGGGCAACAGATACAGTGAGGACACTCCGACTACAATACACTTTAATATACAGTACTACTAATATACCACTCATATACCACTCATATACTACTAATATACTACTAATATACTATAGTATACTACTAATATACTATAGTATACTACTAAGATACTACTAATATACTACAATATACAGTACTACTAATATACTATAATATACTACTAATATACTACTAATATACCACTAGTACACTACTAATATACTATTAATATACTATAATACACCACTAAGATACTACTAATATACTATAATATACTACTAGTACACATCTAATATACGACTATAATATACTACTATAATATACTACTAATACACTATAATATACCACTAATATACCACTAATATACTACTAATATACTACTAGTACACTACTATTATATATATTATAATATATTACTCATATACTATAATACACCACTAATATACTACTATAATATACTACTATAATATACTACTATAATATACTATAATATACTACTATAATACACTACTAATATACTACTATAATATACTACTAATATACTAGTACACTACTATAATATACTATAATACACTAGTAATATACTGCTATAATATACTATAATATATTACTATAATACACTACTAATATACTACTATAATATACTACTAGTACACTACTATAATATACTATAATACACTACTAATATACTACTAAAATATACATAATATACTACTATAATACGCTACTAATATACTACTAATATACTATAATATACTAATATACTACTATAATACACTACTAATATGCTACTATACTATAATATACTACTATAATACACCACTAATATACTACTAATATACTACTAATATACTATAATCTACTACTAATATACTACTATAGTATATTACCATAATATACTACTAATATACTACTATAATATACTTCTAATATATACTACTAATATACTATAATACACTACTATAGTATACTACTATAATATACTACTATAATATACTACTCATATACTACTAAGATACTATAATTTACTACTAAGATACTACTATAATATACTACTAATATACTACTATAATATACTAATATACTATCATATACTATAATATACTACTACTATACTATACTACTAGTACACTACTACTATAATATACTATAATATACTACTAAAATACTATAATATACTACTAAGATACTGTAATATACTACTATAATATACTACTAATATACTACTAGTACACTACTACTATAATATACAACTAATATACTACTAAGATATTACTAATATACTACTACTATACTAATACACTAATAGTACACTACTAGTACATTACTACTATTACAACTACTATGCTACTAGTACACTACTACTATTACAACTACTATAATATACTACTACTATACTACTAGTACACTACTAGTACACTACTACACTATACTACACTACTACTATGCTGGCACACTACTACACTATGACTATACTACACTACTATTATACTGGTATTCTACTACACTATACTACACTACTACTATGCTGGTACACTACTACACTATGACTATACTACACTACTATTATACTGGTATTCTACTACACTATACTACACTACTACTATGCTGGCACACTACTACACTATGACTATACTACACTACTATTATACTGGTATTCTACTACACTATACTACACTACTACTATGCTGGTACACTACTACACTATGACCATACTACACTATTATTATACTGGTATTCTACTACACTATACTACACTACTACTATGCTGGTACACTACTACACTATGACTATACTACACTACTATTATACTGGTATTCTACTACACTATACTACACTACTACTATGCTGGTACACTACTACACTATGACTATACTACACTACTATTATACTGGTATTCTACTACACTATACTACACTACTACTATGCTGGTACACTACTACACTATGACTATACTACACTACTACTATACTGGTATTCTACTACACTATACTACACTACTACTATGCTGGTACACTACTACACTATGACTATACTACACTACTATTATACTGGTATTCTACTACACTATACTACACTACTACTATGCTGGTACACTACTACACTATGACTATACTACACTACTACTATGCTGGTACACTACTACACTATACTACACTACTACTATGCTGGTACACTACTACACTATACTATACTACTACTATACTGGTATTCTACTACACTATACTACACTACTACTATGCTGGTACACTACTACACTATGACTATACTACACTACTATTATACTGGTATTCTACTACACTATACTACACTACTACTATGCTGGTACACTACTACACTATGACTATACTACACTACTATTATACTGGTATTCTACTACACTATACTACACTACTACTATGCTGGTACACTACTACACTATGACTATACTACACTACTATTATACTGCTATTCTACTACACTATACTACACTACTACTATGCTGGTACACTACTACACTATGACTATACTACACTACTACTATACTGGTATTCTACTACACTATACTACACTACTACTATGCTGGTACACTACTACACTATGACTATACTACACTACTACTATACTGGTATTCTACTACACTATACTACACTACTACTATGCTGGTACACTACTACACTATGACTATACTACACTACTATTATACTGGTATGCTACTACACTATACTACACTACTACTATGCTGGTACACTACTACACTATGACTATACTACACTACTATTATACTGGTATTCTACTACACTATACTACACTACTACTATGCTGGTACACTACTACACTATGACTATACTACACTACTACTATACTGGTATTCTACTACACTATACTACACTACTACTATGCTGGTACACTACTACACTATGACTATACTACACTACTATTATACTGGTATTCTACTACACTATACTACACTACTACTATGCTGGTACACTACTACACTATGACTATACTACACTACTACTATGCTGGTACACTACTACACTATACTACACTACTGCTATGCTGGTACACTACTACACTATACTATACTACTACTATACTGGTATTCTACTACACTATACTACACTACTACTATGCTGGTACACTACTACACTATACTATACTACTACTATGCTGGTATTCTACTTCTGGGATCCCTTGTAGTCGAGGTGTTCTAGTAGGCGTTGTCCTCTATGTTTGTAAATCTCAGCAGATATCTTGTCTAGCAACCTAGCTTTGTTCACTTTCATCTACTTGATAGCTTCAGCCACTTCAAGCATCTTTGGGTTTCCAGCTAAGTCCTTAGTGGTATGGTAGAGTGTTGCGGAATCTCACTGAATATAGAAGCATCTATAACGGCATTGCAGTTGTAAAGACGACTGCTGAAGTGTTCCTGCCAGCGGGAGAAGATTGCATTTTTGTCTTTGAAGATGTCCGTCCTATCTTTATACCGGAGTGGTTCAAGGCCCTGTTTTGATGGTCCATATGTAGTGGATTAAACCGAGTCGCAGACGTATTTCTTAGACGCAACACATTTATTACAACAACACGTAATACATAAAGGGGTAGCTGCCCCTTTACCAGACAACAGCCTAGGGTGGTGAGCCACCCGGCTAAACTACACTAACACACTGGGTGTTAGCTACAACGGACCGGACCTCAGCTCGGGTCCAGGTCCACGTGTTGAAGACTCTTCTTCGACGTAGAATGTAGATTTTCAGATGATGGTAGCAACGTTAAACCCCGGTGCCTGTGGGGACCCTGCTTATATGCTCCCGGGTCATGGCCGGCCCCGCCCTTGGCCACGCCCACCTTTGAGAGAGTCCGAGCTTTCTCTCGACCCTTCCTCCTTCCCGTAGGATCATTCCCCCCCTGCCCATGACCACCGCCGAGCCCCCACCTGGGGCCCCATGTAGAGCCGGCATTGCTCGGTGACATTCACGATGTTGCTACATATGTGATGTCCACGATGTGAGTACATTGCACGCCGTGCCCCTCTAGGGCCGGTACAATACAGTGCCATCCGTGATGTCACTACACATATAATACTTTGGTTGCTTTCAAAAATTCACGTGAGTTATTGGAATCTACAAAATGTATTTCTATTTCGTTGTTCTTGAACCAGTTGTTCTTCAGTTTCGGATTTTAGTTTGTATTTTCTGTCCTTGTATGTGATTTCCCCCCCTAATATGCTTGTTTTTTCTGTCTAGACTGTTTGTGTTTGTTGCCAGGCAATGAATGCTTTCCGTTTCTTGTCAATGAGGCCTGTGATTTCCTGGTGGTTGTCATCAAACCTGTCAAAGTTTTTCTTTCTTGTGTAGCCAATGGTGATTCACAGCTGGTTATTACTGCCATCTTCAATTGTGTCCAGTACTCATTAACATTTCCTGAAGCCTGGTTGGTGCTAAGTTTTCGAGCTAGTTCTTTGAGTCAGGCCTTTACTTCTGGGACTTGTAGTCTGTTTACATTGAGTCTTTTCCTCTGTAGCTTTGGTTGAGCTCTTTCTCATAGGCTCCTAAGAGCTCTTTTAGACCACGTGACCGCCCAGCGACCCCCGTCCACCGGTGCCCCCCCTCCAATATGATCCGGTCACGTGTCAGCAGGTCAACCAGCGTATCATGCCCCAACGTAACCCTGGCTGGCTGACGCTCGCTCCCTCACCAGGAGCCCGCACCGCACACTGCTCGCGGTGCCTCCGCACTGACCAGCACTGACCGAAGCCCCGCTAGGGCTGGTACTACGCCCCGTAAGCGGGCTGCCCATAATGACAACACATTATCCGCCGTGGCTTCGTAAGCCCGGCACCACACAGTGACAATCACAGTCACTACACTACTGCTATGCTAGCATACAAGAAATACAGCGAGAAACATCACTACTAGTACACTACTATATTATACAAGAAATACAGCGAGGAACATCACTACTAATACATTACCATACTAATTTAGTGACACAGTTTGGAGGCACCTTTCTTTATTCTTGACACACAATGGGGACTATATGCACCCTACGTGGCTGCACACTATTATATATATGGACTAGCGGGAAGTACCCGGTGTTGCCCGGGTGAAAAATATATTTCAAAACTTATCTTAAAACATAACGTATACAGGGATTATCTGCATTGGGACTTTCACAAGGTGTTTGTGAGTTCTTTTGAACTGCAGTTAGCTTTCCAAGTTGTATTGGTGTTGAAAGTTAAGCATATTGGTTCAAAAGGGTTTGTGTGACTTCAAGTGATGACAAGAGACGTTATTGAGGTCCTGATGAGTGGGAAGGTGACTGTTTTCCTCGATTCTCAGGACTTCCCGGAGGGTTGCAGTGTTGTGGTGGATGTGTTGGGGAGAGATGTTCTGACAGCGCGGGCAGCCCAGGGTATTTGGATCGACTTGAGGGTTCCAGTGATGCAATGCATTGCACTGTTCAGTTGGACATCAACAAGTTGAGTTTGACTACTTCTGGTCAATACTGGTGCACAGTACTTGGCTACAGAGTACACAGGGGCCATTGTTGATGTCCGTAGCACTGAGGGTGCTGATGCTCCCCAGCTTGTGCTTGCTAGTTTTTGGACCAGTTTGATCATTGTTTTCGTCTTGGCAGCTACCTTCTATATGTGGCCGTGGAAGGTTAGCGTATTGTCTAACTTCAATCCGAGATAGGTTGGATTGGGATCGTGTTGCACAGTGTTACCACAGAAGGTCACTTTAAGAGTTTGCTTGGTGCTCCTATAATTATCAATATGAAATACATTGACGGTTTTGTGAAGATTTTGCTTGGGCCTCCATTTCTGGAAACATTCCCCCATGGTGTTTAGGTCTTCAAAGTGAATTCGATGTCATTGAAAGTGGATGCTTGTGTTGATCCAGTTGGTGGCATGTCGTTGACTCGCCACTCTTTCTACAGCCTGCTTATAGTGGTCCCAGTTAGCTTTGACTGGGTTCCACCTTGGTAATTGTTTTGACAGAATCACGGCGATTTTGATGCCCATGTGGGTGATGATGGGCCTATATTGACTTTTGGGGAAGCTTGGGAGAATGTTGTGGGATGCGTGAAGCATGCTCCCACTTTGATCTTTGGAAACAATAGTGAGGACTGGGTTGTACGCGCGTTGCCAGCGAGCAGAGTGGAAAGTTGCTTACTGCTTGGAATTGAAAACCAGGTGCAGATTTTTGGCGGACATCCATTTGATGAGGTCTTCACTGTTGGCCTGATATACTGCATAGCCCCACGTAGTATGGTGGCTGTTACAGTCACCAATGTATAGGTCTGGGATTGGTAAACTTGGGAGCGGTGGCTTTGGCGATTTTGAATGAAGGTCTTTGTACATGTTGATAATATGCAGTTCCCCTATCTTGATGCTGATGGTAGGCGGTTTCTTTTTCAGTTGGTGGGAAGGCATATAATTCTGTGTGGTGTTCTTCATGTACATGGCCAGGCCATATTTCTTGTGGTAATGGCTCGTCATGAGGTTGTATTCATGGATGTGGTAGCGACTGGCATGTAGGGCATCCATGACATGGGTTTTTTGGAGCGTCAGGACATTAATTTTACGAGTCCCTCAATATTCAGTTGGAGGACCTATCTGGCGCGTTGTTTGGCCCTGAAGAAGTCCGTTGGTGTGGCTTGTCTTGTTGCTCTGGAGACCGGAAGATCGATGTCCGGTTACCACATTGAAAGCATTCATCGTGATTTCTCATGTAACAAGAGTGTGCTGTGTGAAGGCTGCCATATTCCACTCTGGCACCTTAAGTGAGACACCTCCAAAAGCATCATCTCCATCTTCGACCTGAACAAAAAGCCACAAAAACATTCAGTGTCAACTTATTTATAACACCGCTAGCACATCCCTACCAGTTTCCCTAAACTGGCTGGTCACCTAAGACCACCGCCTTAAACAAACCAAAAAGAAACAAAATTTGATTAAACATTTTTCAGAAACTTTCAGGAACAATGTGAGAAAGCGATGCCCGCACATTTAAGTTATCTACGCAGGCCCTGACCCACTGCACTGTGGAGTGTCAGCTCTCGCACAAATCTCATGGATAGCAAAATCAAAATTGCACTCCTGTAACATCAGCGGTACCCTGAAGCCCGCTTCACTCCTGTGGCTTGCTATGCTGGCAAACATCACCCCAGACAGCATCTGACACAATGCCCGCTATGACCTGCGAATACCGCAGTCTTATGGACAACATTGCTCTGCCGCTGCAAACGGACTTAGAAGAACCCCCACGCCATAGGCTGAAATCCAGGAAACTTCTCTGGATGCGTGCCTTTTCTCTAGCAGCCAGAAAACAAAAATGGCACTTGCTGGAGATAAATGTGGATAGCTATGGATATGATAAACAAAAACCTCATTTGAAGACCCAACTGGAATTACCAGACGTATCCCACAAAACCTATGCTGAACCATGCTAAACCGTGGTTGAACGCAACATGGGAGATACGCATACACCTTCCACAGGTGGAAGATCAAAAAATTGCCGTACTGTGACTGTAGTGAAAGCCAAACCAACAAGCACATCACCGACCATTCCACCAAATATGCACATATTGGTGGTGCTGCTGCGATCCACACAGTGGCTAAATTAGCATTCAACTATAACGCATTTCAAAACTGTTGCTTTTCCATCCTACCATACTAAAGCAGAAGACTGCCAAACGACCCATCTGTGACCCTTATTGTTGACGTACCATCGCTTATAGTGATAGACTTTAAAGCATCCTCCTTTAGGTGTTGCTTGGTGAAGGTGGCAAGGCCATGTTTAGGTTAGTAGATGGCCACAAAAAGGGTGTCATTATTTTGTAACTTGCCATCCATCCGTATGCTGTCCTTCACACCCGTCTCCTGTTAGGCGACGACATCAATGTTTTTTCCCCTTAATTTTCTGGGTAAAAAGTCACATGAGGTTTTGAGAGTACTTCAATACTTAGATGGTACACCTGAAGTGAAGACCTTCTACGATCATTTTCATGGCCTTAACATTACATTGTTCCACTCTGATTTGCTTAGTTATGTTGTTTGCATGTTTTACCACAGGTATGTGTGGTTAATGCAGATTTGATGCTTTACAATGATGTCTATTTGGTGTTTTAACATCTTAACACCTTTATTATACCAGAAATGATAATGCCTTTTTTATTTCTTAATACTGGTGAAATGATACCATATATGTATAACTGCTTAGCCCTAGCTATTAATGCTTTGGCATCCTTGTACTGTTTGCCTTCTGGCGGCCTTTGGTCTAGCACTGGTGAGACAAAGCCATCAAAAGGTCTCTAGTATAGGCCAATCAGTTTCAAGCAAAATGCATGCATGATTAAAGCATACTTGTTTGCATGTTTTATGACAAGTATGTGTGATTAATGCATACTTTTAATGCCTTGCGATAGGTGTCTATGTGGTGTTTGAACATCTTATCACCTTGATTTTAAGCTTTCGTGACTGCAGGAATCCATACTCTTTGGTTCTTATTTTATTAAATCCTTTATATTAAGTTCGCTTGCTTGCTTAGGACCGTGCAAATCTTTCGGTCGTTTTTTAACCCACTTCCCGTGATCCAATCGAGCTGACATTTTCCACACAGACTCGTTGTGCGTGACAATGTTCGTGAAAATTTTTTTCCAAAATTTTACACTTTTTAGGACAAAAATATATTTAATTACCAATTGCTTAATGGTGCAATGCAATCATCTGACCCATAGGTGGCAGCCATCTCAAGCCAGAGGACGAGAGAACTCCAGCCGCCACGCATATAAAGGATTTATAGTGAAAAACTTTGTTTTTACGGGTTATACTTATACCTACGTGACTTTACCAAAAGAACCAAAGAGTATCTTATCACCTGTGTTTTTGCCAGAAAGGTGAAAGCCTATTCTTATTTTCATCAGGATGGCATTACATTTTCTGCCACACAGACATGGAGGCCGCAACATCGGGGGATGCACCCATCAAAGAAGAACGAGAGGAACGCGCAAGCGGGGCTGGGTGGCTTGCTGTGACCGTAAAGGGAGAGGACCCTGGAGCCGGTAAGTGTCAGGGAGTCTGAGCCGGTGAGTGAGTGAGGGAAGGTGTCTCAGAACTGATGAGTGAGTCCTCCGTGTGGGGTCTCTTAACTTGAGCTCAATCAGAGTGAATCCTGCATGTCAGGTGGCCAGGTTGAGTTGAGTTGAAGGTCTCAGTCCAGTCACCAATGAATGCATTAATTTATTTATTTTTGAACACCTCTATGACATTCTAGATTTGAAGCTTTCGTGACTGCAATGATTCATGCTCTTAGGTTTTTTCGGTACAGTCACAGCTAAATTTACTGTATCAAGTGAGGAAATATCCAAAAGACAAGCTCTTAAATACAAGTTAAGGGGGAGAGGGGCTTATCTGAATGTGGTAGCCAATGAATGGAACGTGTTGGGGGGGGGTGGGCGGGGCTAAAAGAGAACAATTGGTGCACCTCAACTCGAGGTTGCGGCCATTGTTGGCTGACGATCCAAATACAAAAAAGCAGCACTGTTAAACGCTGGGGATGTCAACACTCGGTAAAGTAGAATAGTACCTGTCAAATAAGATGGTACAAATATGCGTAGTTAAATCTTTTTTACATGGTTAATAACATCTTTCCAATGATTACTCAGTTTGTACCCATCATCACAGGTTGAAGTTATGTCATTACAGAAGCAGCAAATGTACGCAATCGTCTGTCGCATTTGATTCGGCATTTGATATGTCGCGGACTCCTGCATGCATCGATCCCATTCTTCGTCTGAATCCAACAAATGACGATGAAAAGGCAGTTTCCTTGAATGCGGTGTAAACGATGCCATCGATGGTTCTGAGGAATTCAAAACTGGTAGCACCTTTTACATGCAGCAAGATCATCCTAAGATAGAATCTAGATTTGAAGTTTTCGTGACTATCCTAAGATAGAATCGTTCCTCATGTTTGATTCCAACAGTGTACAATCTCGCAACGATCTGAGTGCCTCCTCTTTGTCGCTGCTTCCAGTTGTTGTTGACATACACATAATTGTAGGGAATGTCATTCTAGAGATAATATTGGGCATTTGGATCAATCACATTTAACTGAAATCAAGATTCGAGCTTAGTGCGACCTGTTCGTGCGGCTTCCAACGCCTCTTCTTCTTGAAACACAAGGCCTTGCTGATTTGGCAAATGCACGGGCAATCTCATCACGGCATGCGAACGATCATGCATTGGCAACTCGAGCAAACGCCACATAGCTTCTGGGGCACCCACGTGTCTTGCGTTGATGAAATTTGACAGCTCGCCGTGTCGAAGTTGAGCATTCTCGCCGGCAGTGATCGTCATATTGGCACAGTCGAATCATTTGTAAATATATTTATAAATATATTTCACAGCTCTTAGTGACGTGAAGACTTCGACGTTGATGTGAGCATTGTACCTCAGCAGCAGATAGGGATTGTTTGGCACCACATATCCGTTATCCATTGACGATCCACTAACTTCTGCTGAAATTCCTTGTCGCCGACGATACAGAGGATCTCCATTCATATTGTGCGTTGTTGTGGTAGAAAATTGCTTCGGGAACGCCTTTGAGCACTTTCCATCTTGCATGCAGGGTGCGCGAGGATTCGCAGCTGCGCATGGGCCATGCATCATGCATCTAGTGACAATTTCGTGCAACCGCAGATTTTCAGTCGTAACGGGAATTCCGGCGGAGACAACCTGATCGATGCGCTCAGAGCTAGTTGGTCCTGGTTCAGATAGTGGGTATGTGCCTCAGTCCACGTTTGCGCTTAACCATCCTTGCAAGTATCCTACCAGTGGCTGGGGAGGGGTCACGAAATGGCAACTTGGCCCTCATAAACAGTTGGGAGATCTAGTCGTTTTAGTTCTTATTTAGCTCCTTTCTTTCTTGCCAAATCTCACCCCATGTCTCCTTAAGTTGGGATGTCTTATATTTGTAATAAAGGACTCTCTCTCAGATGTCGATCTCCGTTGTCCTTTATTGGGTTCGTAGAATCTCGATACCATGGCGTCTCGCTCAGGCCCGCGTCCCTCTCGACGACCTCTCCACAGCCCTCGGCTGCTCCGATATGCAGTCTCCCTGCTGCTCCGATATGCAGCCCCACCGCTGCTCCGCTCTCTAGCTTCACTACTGCCCCATATACAGCTAGCCTCCCACAGCCGCTAGCTCTCTGCGTCTGACACCGATGGCTAACGATGTCGACGTCTCCCACCACGTGGCGACCGCGCCACTCTCCGTCTTGCCCAGAATGGCCTCCTCCTGTTTCACTCCGTCTCAACTCCCCCTTCCCCTTCCGGTTCTCTCCCTAAATCCTCTCTCCCACGTGACCCTAACTCCACCCACTCCCCACGTGACCCAGACTCCGCCCCCCTCAATCCTTGCTCGCATTACATATTCATTATGAAGCAGCCTGAGCCTAGCCTCTATCTCCTGTGTCCTCTGTCCCCTTAGTTTCTTGAGCCACGCACCCCTGGCTATAAGGACCCCTCTGAGGTGAGCTTTGAGGGCATCCCACACCACCAATGGCAATGTGGGAGAGGATGCACTTAAGTTGATTTCCATGACGAATCCAACATACATGATAATTTTTCGATCGTTTCTTTATCCCGAAGCAGGGCTCTATATAGGACCCAAGTCACATGTCTCTGCTCCTCTGGGTCCAATATAAATTTTGTAAGGACTGGAGTGGGATCATAAAATTGGAAAATCCATAATTTTCACCTTTGGGACTGAGGGGAGGAGTGTGTTTGACAACATAAAGTATCATGCGCTCTAGACACGTGGGTATAATCTCTCTTGAGGAATCCGATGATCTTTGAAGCAATTTTTTCACATATGACCAGTAAGAGCAGGTCAGAAAGTTACAACAACAAACAATACACAAACACAATAGTAGTGCAAGTATAGGAAAGGTAAGTAAATCACTTAGAATATACATATAAAACTAAACTATTTTTTGTATCTTACCAGTTAAAGCCCATTGAAGTATTAACTTATTTTTCAGAAGCATCCTGGCCACAAATGATAGTGGCTTATGTGGAAATGCATAGGAGCATCATCTAAATAATCTCAATGTTGTTTATAAATGTGGAAGGAAAAACATCGATGCCACCACGGGGAGAACGTACAAACTCCAAATATGTGTCAAATACAGTGTCTCCCTTCAGGCGTATTGATCGACCTTGGGGAGGTCCAGGACCCATTCAGATAATTGGTGTTGGTTGTGAGCGGGAATCGAACTCAGGTCACCGGGTTGGTAGTGCAGCGAGCTGCACATTGCGCTGCCACTCCTCACACACAACAACAACAACCGCCATTCGCCACTAAGTGGCGGTGACGTCACCACGACGCTTGTGCCAGGCCATGTGCACCTTGAGGCCACTTTCACACACACACACTGACTTTCACACACATGCGCACAACAACAACAACCGCCATTCGCCACTAAGTGGCGGTGACGTCACCACGATGCTTGTACCAGGCGCACAATACTCACTTTCACACACTCACTTTCATACACACATGTGCGTGTGGGCGCACACACGCACAAACACTCACTCCCAGCGCGAGGCTGACTCATTACATTTCACAGAGGATCGCTTCCCTGAACAAAATAGTTCCGCAGTTCAGTTTGCAAGTGCGAGTTCAGGACTGCCTGTATGAGGTCATTTTTCAGACACAAATAAAAAACACTGGTCATGATGAAACAAAAAGTTATTCTCATCAGGCAAGTGCAGTCTCTACATCTTCGTGTCCCTGGGTAACTATATTTATGTCCTAAGAAGAAGACCCGTTGCCCAAAACGTCGCCTATTCTATTTATTTCCTTTTTAAGACCACTCTTACTGAGGAATGTGTTTTTAATGTTGTGGATGCATTACTACCAGTGGTTTATTTGTGGTTCCTACTCCCAGGTGGCCCATGGATTTTCATTGGTGATCTGTGACTGGTTATAATAATTCCGGTTTAGTAACCTACAAGTAAATTTCGATTTAAAAGTTTCGTGACTGCAGGGATTCATCTTCTTGGTTCTTTCGGTAAAGTCACGTAGAAGGGAAGTAATAAAATAATAAAAATAAAACATAATAAAACAATTCTCACGACGTTTCGGCCACAACGCAAGCAGCCGTCCTCAGGTGAAGAATGAGACAATGCCAAGCTAGGAGCTTATATATAAGCTGCGTTGGAGGTGGAAGAAAGAGCGCCTTAACAAAATAATGTGCATATGAAGAGGAATTTAGCATATACATGGAAAATGCGTAGGAGGTGGGCGGGGGGGTTTCAAAGTCATATTATGCCCATGCATTATGCAGGATCAACAGCACCAAGGGGGGGTGCAGGGATTAGCAGTAACAAAGGAAAGGAATGTTAATGATATGTAGCTGCAGTTACTCAACAACCACGTAGAAAACTAAAGTATAAACTACATAAAAAACTAAAGTATAAATTGCATAGCACCATCAGTTTACTTACTATACTCTACACTAAGCTGAGTTACTAACAGCAAGTAATACATTACAATTCTACGTCGTAAAAATTATATAATATGCTTCCATCTAAACTTTATTCTATTGTATCACACGAGCATATACCGTACTATATACTGCCAACATTAAATTATATACTGTATTGCTGTAAACCAACCTATACCTTATACATTTAATATAACACTATGTATTATTCTACCCACCCTAATGTGTGTCGAAATGGTTTATTACGTCCTTCCAATGATTGCTAAGCCAGAATCCATCTTCTCGGTTAAAATTGTCTCTGTGTTTGTATATGTGGATCGCCTCATGAACGAATCTCTCATGATAGCCAGATGGCTTGCAGAGAACCTCTGTCTTGGAGAAGTCAATATCATGTGAGCCCACTGAGTTGTAACAGTGATCTGCCACGGCTGAGGTGTTTGTCCTACCGTGTTTCAGGTCAGCTTTATGTTCACGGATGCGGTCCGAGACATGTCGTTTGGTTTCCCCAATGTAACTGCTACCACAGAGGCAACTTAGTTTGTAGACGCCAGGGTACTGTATGTCTGAAACCACATCTTTTACAGACGGTACCAGATCACGGATTTTATGTACTGTGTTGAATCGGACCTGGATCTTGTGTTTAATCAGGATTTTGGAGATCTTTTTTGTGACCCCAGCAATGTAGGGTAAGGTGATGGTCTTGAAAGGCTCCTCAACAGGATCCTTCTTGATGGTTGGAGTGATGGCTTTGCGGATTGTGTAGTCGGAGTAACCATTAGCCTTAAGAGCTTGGCGTACGTGTTTGAGTTCACTGGAAATGTGTTCATGGTCGGAGATGCATTGGGCTCTATGATATAGAGTCTTGATGAGGGAATTCTTCTGGGATGGATGGTGGTGGGAATCCGGTTTTAGATAAGCATCCGTGTGGGTGGCTTTCCTGTAGACAGAGTGGCTCATTGAACCATCAGGTCTCCTTTTGATTAGGACATCCAAAAAGGGTAGCTTGCCATCATTTTCGACTTCCATGGTGAATCTGATGGCTGGGTGTATGGAATTGATGTGGTCGAGAAATTGGTCTAGAGCAGGCCGGCCATGTGGCCAGATGACAAAAGTGGCGTCTACGTACCTCTTCCATAAGGTCGGGCGTAGAGTGGCAGTCTGGATGGCGTCCGTCTCAAATTTCTCCATGAAGATGTTGGCTACAACCGGAGATAGGGGGGAGCCCATTGGGGTGCCCTCAATTTGCTTGTAGAAGGTTCCATTCCAGGTGAAGTATGTATTGGTTAAGCAGTGTCTCACCAGGGGGGGTACCCCAGCATTCAGTCCTTGATGAACCAAGTCTTCAATGATTGCGATGATGTCAGGCACAGGCACCTTGGTGAACAAGGAAACCACATCAAAACTGACAAGCAGGTCGTCTGGGGACAGGGCAATCCCCTTGATTGTCGATACCAGGTCAGTAGAGTTTAGTACTGCAGAGGTGGTTTTTCCAGTGAAAGGCCATAGGATTTCGGACAAAAAACGAGCCAGTTTGTAAGTGGGGGAGTTGATAGTAGAGACAATGGGACGAAGAGGTGTATCTTCTTTATGTATCTTTGGCAAGCCGTACAATCTTGGTGGCCTGGCTGCAGAAGGTTTCAACGACAACTGTTTGGTCTGATCAATTAATGCGGTTGAAGCAGAAATGATGTTGTTGGTTTTGGAGACGAGGCTGTTGGTGGGGTCTCTGCCAAAAATAAAAAGAGACCCCACCAACAGCCTCGTCTCCAAAACCAACAACATCATTTCTGCTTCAACCGCATTAATTGATCAGACCAAACAGTTCTCGTTGAAACCTTCTGCAGCCAGGCCACCAAGATTGTACGGCTTGCCAAAGATACATAAAGAAGATACACCTCTTCGTCCCATTGTCTCTACTATCAACTCCCCCACTTACAAACTGGCTCGTTTTTTGTCCGAAATCCTACGGCCTTTCACTGGAAAAACCACCTCTGCAGTACTAAACTCTACTGACCTGGTATCGACAATCAAGGGGATTGCCCTGTCCCCAGATAACCTGCTTGTCAGTTTTGATGTGGTTTCCTTGTTCACCAAGGTGCCTGTGCCTGACACCATCGCAATCATTGAAGACTTGGTTCATCAAGGACTGAATGCTGGGGTACCCCCCCTGGTGAGACACTGCTTAACCAATACATACTTCACCTGGAATGGAACCTTCTACAAGCAAATTGAGGGCACCCCAATGGGCTCCCCCCTATCTCCGGTTGTAGCCAACATCTTCATGGAGAAATTTGAGACGGACGCCATCCAGACTGCCACTCTACGCCCGACCTTATGGAAGAGGTACGTAGACGACACTTTTGTCATCTGGCCACATGGCCGGCCTGCTCTAGACCAATTTCTCGACCACATCAATTCCATACACCCAGCCATCAGATTCACCATGGAAGTCGAAAATGATGGCAAGCTACCCTTTTTGGATGTCCTAATCAAAAGGAGACCTGATGGTTCAACGAGCCACTCTGTCTACAGGAAAGCCACCCACACGGATGCTTATCTAAAACCGGATTCCCACCACCATCCATCCCAGAAGAATTCCCTCATCAAGACTCTATATCATAGAGCCCAATGCATCTCCGACCATGAACACATTTCCAGTGAACTCAAACACGTACGCCAAGCTCTTAAGGCTAATGGTTACTCCGACTACACAATCCGCAAAGCCATCACTCCAACCATCAAGAAGCATCCTGTTGAGGAGCCTTTCAAGACCATCACCTTACCCTACATTGCTGGGGTCACAAAAAAGATCTCCAAAATCCTGATTAAACACAAGATCCAGGTCCGATTCAACACAGTACATAAAATCCGTGATCTGGTACCGTCTGTAAAAGATGTGGTTCCAGACATACAGTACCCTGGCGTCTACAAACTAAGTTGCCTCTGTGGTAGCAGTTACATTGGGGAAACCAAACGACATGTCTCGGACCGCATCCGTGAACATAAAGCTGACCTGAAACACGGTAGGACAAACACCTCAGCCGTGGCAGATCACTGTTACAACTCAGTGGGCTCACATGATATTGACTTCTCCAAGACAGAGGTTCTCTGCAAGCCATCTGGCTATCATGAGAGATTCGTTCATGAGGCGATCCACATATACAAACACAGAGACAATTTTAACCGAGAAGATGGATTCTGGCTTAGCAATCATTGGAAGGACGTAATAAACCATTTCGACACACATTAGGGTGGGTAGAATAATACATAGTGTTATATTAAATGTATATATGGTTTACAGCAATACAGTATATAATTTAATGTTGGCAGTATATAGTACGGTATATGCTTGTGTGATACAATAGAATAAAGTTTAGATGGAAGCATATTATATAATTTTTACGACGTAGAATTGTAATGTATTACTTGCTGTTAGTAACTCAGCTTAGTGTAGAGTATAGTAAGTATACTGATGGTGCTATGCAATTTATACTTTAGTTTTTATGTAGTTTATACTTTAGTTTTCTACGTGGTTGTTGAGTAACTGCAGCTACATATCATTTACATTCCTTTCCTTTGTTACTGCTAATCCCTGCACCCCCCCTTGGTGCTGTTGATCCTGCATAATGCATGGGCATAATATGACTTTGAAACCCCCCCGCCCACCTCCTACGCATTTTCCATGTATATGCTAAATTCCTCTTCATATGCACATTATTTTGTTAAGGCGCTCTTTCTTCCACCTCCAACGCAGCTTATATATAAGCTCCTAGCTTGGCATTGTCTCATTCTTCACCTGAGGACGGCTGCTTGCGTTGTGGCCGAAACGTCGTGAGAATTGTTTTATTATCTTTTATTTTTATTATTTTATTACTTCCCTTCTACGTGACTTTACCGAAAGAACCAAGAAGAACCTACAAGTAATTTGGCAAATTTAGCAAATTTGGACTGATACCAGCAAACACACAGCCGACTGTTTTTCGAATTTCGTCAGGGTATCTTCAATATCCACAGTGATTCAGACAGTGCTTAACTTTTATGGCTATCACACCGGGTGGCCAGGGGCTTGAACTGCAGCTTCTGCAACAAGCAGCAAACGTGCTAACATTCGACCACGTCACTGCCCTGTGTTGTGTTGCTTGACCTAGATCTGGCTGAAATCCTTCAGGCTAAAGGAAATGAAATTCAAAATGGTAGGGTGGACCTCATGGTTGATCGAGAGGATGTTCAGCTTGATAAAGACCTTCAGTCTGATGCCGAGGACCTTCAATCTGATGCAGAGGACCTTCACGTGGATGGCGAGAAGCTCGTGGATGGTGGAGATGACCTTGGGGCAGATCGCCTCGACCTTCATTTTGATGGACAGGATCTTCAGTCTGATGGACATGACCATTCTGATGGCGAGGGCCTTGGTAAAGAGGGCTCCACTGTTAGATGTGAGGCGTGGGATTCGTGTGGAGCCCGGGCAGCCCTGGGGAGCTGGGCAGAGGTGGAGGTGGAGCTGGAGGACTCGAGTGACGGTGAGTAGGGGTGATGGAAGAGAGAATTGTGTGTGTGTGTGTGATGTGACCACACCTGGCTGCGGCTTAGACAAATGCGGGTTTTACTCTTTGCGATGTGTGCGCAGTTGTGTTTCAAATCCATATGTGAGTAGGAAGAAACTGGGCGTTAAACTATTGATTAAAATGGATTGAAGAGGGAGCGCATTGGCTCAGAGGTCGGAGCGCTGAAGAAGCACCGCTGAGACCCTGGGATGGAATCTAGGGCAGCTGCCTCTGATTAATCTGGGTTCTCATGTGTTCTGAATGGATGGTCTCAGCCCAGTCACAATTGACTGCCCGTAAAAAGATCACATCACAATCAATCTCGTGCTGCGAGGTTAAGCCAGGGTTGTTGTAAAAGACACACATGGGCAAATTTATCATGGAGATTGAATGGCACAAGGGGCTCAGTGGGCTATGTAAGTCAACATGTGTCCAGCATATTGACCGCTGGCTCCGAATTGACTCAAGCCGGGTTGTTGTTACCCTCATGCTGGCCGAGTGCTAATCCAGATAATTGTTATTGATATGCACGACCTTATACATAGGTAATACCACATGGGAGCATTCATTGTTCGATTAAAATAAATATTTATGTTCATGAAACACGGAATCAGAATATTCATTTATTCTGGAAAAATCCGATGAGCTATGAAGTATGCATTGTTCAACACATGTTATAATTTGAGTTGCTATTTATGCAAAATGATTGCTTTATATTATAATTTTATATTTTGACTGACGGTACGGTATGACAAAATCTAACAAATGAGACGTAAACATAGAAAATCCAACAAGACGGAGATAATTTATTCTTTAATTGAATTGAGACCGACTGAACCTTGATGATTCATTAAATCACTGAGGGTGAATTGCCACAAACTACTGCCTTTTGTCACCACGTAATAATGTATTTTAGGGTCCTTAAACTCTATCAACTTTTGCAAAATTGTAGGCTAAGTTTTTCCCACCTGCCTGCTCTCGTATATAAACAGTTGATTAAACTGTGGATTTAGTGTGTGCAGGATCTACGTGGATTGGTATAGTTGAAGGAAGCTTGAGGAAACTATCATCCAGCAGTGGATTGGCCATGACTGATGATGATAAGATTCTCAGGGAAAGAACTCTCTCAATATTTAAGTCTTTATTAAAGTTAGTTAAGCATGTGGTTTGAACGATGAATGGAGTGTTGATTAATGTTGCGCAGTACCATTCTGCACTAAACATTCATGACTGCTTGTAGCATAGATACGACCGAGCCACTGCACTTAGAGCTGCCAGACTCAAAACTGATTTTCAAGATCACATTGATTATATTGGTAAAAAGGCAAAAAAAAATTGTATCGACACAAGCACTGCTTCCCCCCTATGTTCCGCTTGGAATTGATAAAAGTTACCATACTGCCTCTACTTGATTACTGTGACATCGTATATACATCAGCCTCCAGTATTATACTGAAGAAGCTTGATTCAATTTATCACTTGGCCTTAAGATTTGCATTGAACTGCCCATATAGGACCCACCACTGCCATCTCTACATTGGGTCTAACTTAACTTCTCTTAATGATCGACGGCTTGTGCATCAGATCTTATTTATTGACGATGTACTTAAACAAAAACATCCGCAGACTACCTGCTGGATCTCCTCACTGTTTCGAAGAACAAATGTGACCTAAGGTCTTCGCTCATTTACCAGCTTCACATTCCTTATTGCCGTACAGATACTGGAGGAAGGGCCTTTTCTATTGATGCCCCCAGGGTCTGGAATGCTATCGCCAATAAACTGCAACTTGGATCACTACCTGTAAGATCTTCACTCAAAGCTGCTTTAGAGGAGGTGTACATATCATTCCGGGTGACCACTGCAAAGTATGATCTTGAGTTTTTATTATAGTGTGCTGATCTTTAAAGGTGTATTGAAAATTTTTGATACTGCTACTGATACTCCTGCTGTTATGGAGTGACTCATGCTGCCAGCTATGGCTGCAAAGTTTGGTCGTACATGCTATGTATATCGTTTATTGTTGAATTTGAATCACCGTTCCTATGATCACTGTTACATTGTTTTATAGCTTTATTTTGGTGATTTTTGAAAACGTTTGACATTAGCCATGTTTGTTTGTAGTACAGAGTTAGCCTGATAACTTTAATCTAAATTTTCTTATGGTTGTTATTGTTTGACTTGCATCTCACTGGGATTTTTGCACACAGCGTTGAAATACGGTGTTTTTTCTAGGAGACTTTACTGTTTTTTCCTGGATTTTCTTGTTGCGTGTAGTCACTTTAAGATGTTTCTTGTTCATGTTTTGTTTGTTGCGGTTGCACCCAAGTCAAGAGCCGCATGGCTCACAGGGTTATACCTAATAAATACAACTGAAAACTGAAACTATGAATGCAGCACCAAGTAGTTGAGAAGACGAGTAACATGCTAGTGAGTGACTTGAGTCACTAAGCCACAGATACTTACATGCTGACTCACTGCATCACTAAGCTACTAAGTCAATGACATCACCATTGAGTTACTAAACCACTGAACCACTCAGCTGCTGGGTTACTGAGCAATTGAGCCGCTGACATGCTGATGTTTCTTTCCTCCAGCAGGTAGCAGCATTGTGGAGACCGCTGCATTGTTCCACTGTGAGGGAGCTGCAAACAACAATGCACAGCAGAGCGAGACGCAGCAGACGGTGATCCTGGAGAGCAATGCTGAGCCCCCGTGTGGGAAGGCTGCAGCAGTGGCAGTGATGGAGGAAGCGGAGGGGGAGAAGCCGCACGTGTGCGGAGCCTGTGGCAAGTCGTTCGCAGTTCTCTCCAACCTCCAGATGCACCTTGCAATGCACACGGGGGAGCGGCCGCATGTATGCGCCGAGTGCAGGGAGGCATTTGCATGCGCCGAGCTGCTGGAGCGGCACCGGCGCTTGCACGCCACTTGGGCAAAGTCCTACATGTGCTCGGAGTGTGGAAAAGCATTCCGACAGCTGGGAAACCTCAAGAACCACGAGCGCACGCACACGGGCGAGCGCCCACACGCCTGTCCCCAGTGCGGAAAGGCATTCGCCGACCTCTCGAGCCTCCAGCAGCACCGGCGCATCCACACGGGCGAGCGACCGCACCGCTGCTCGGAGTGCGGGAGGGCGTTCAAACAGTCGGGCAGCCTCCAGCGGCACCAGCGCACGCACACGGGCGAGCGGCCCCACCGCTGCTCGCTGTGCGGCAAGGCCTTCGCCTTGGCCCACACCCTGCAGCAACACCGCAAGGTGCACACGGGCGAGAAGCCGCACGCGTGCCCCGAGTGCGGGAAGGCCTTCGCGCAGGCTGGGAACCTGCAGCAGCACCTGAGGACGCACGCACGCAGGAAGCCCTTCAAGTGCTTCGAGTGCGGCAAGGCCTTCACGCAGCCCCGGGGACTCAAGAAGCACGAGAGAGTACATGCCTCAGGAGCTGCAGGTGAGGGAGCCTTGGCTGAGCCACAAACACTTGCAGATTTGGGTTTTGGGTGTCTTAATGCCCTGAGCAGTACCACCATACTGTAGGTGTTTTAGAAGATGCTCCTCGCTGTTTTTCTACCTGGTTGAGGTTTACCGACCAGAAACATGGTCAATATTTTTTTTGCTCGAGCTTTAGTCGGTGTGTCATCTCATGATAGCTATACTTGCGATGCTGGTACCCGAATAGAATCGTTTTCTGCAGGCTGGATGCCTGATAGTACATATACCCGAACCACAGTAGAGTAAGTCCTCTTTATGTTGGGGATGCGTCTCTGAAAAATGCAACGTTAGGCGAAACAACGTAAATCAAAAAACGTTAAATCAATTTTCTTTTTTACCATTTGACTTATTTTTACCGTAATATAAATTCATCATACATTCGAGGAGGTATTTTTTTGGTAAAAATTTGAAGACAAAATATTTATGTACTAAAAAAGATGAAAAGATACTCAAAATAATATTACATTTCGATTTAAAGCTTTCGTGGCTGCAGGGATTCATCTTCTTGGTTCTTTCGGTAAAGTCACGTAGAAATTCTACGTGACAAAATAATATTATTTCACAAGTTGAAATATATAATACAAGTTAATACAGAGTACTCACCAGAGATGGCAGTGCAGATTGCATGTTTACAATATGGCAATTTTGTAAATATCCAGCATGGGCACCACGGTGCTATACATTTTCACGCGACAAGCCACTTTGTTGAGCTATTTTTGTGGCCAGGTCGCCTTTGTATAGCTCAGTTGGCCTTACCTGGTAAAATGAAAAATAGTTGTAATAGTTTAATGTGCAGTACCTATTATTCGCTGCTCACAGTTAACTACCATCGACGTATGGTGACTTGTGTAGTCATGCTCATTTTTTATATGGGAGAGTGAGGAGTTTGGATCAATTTTCTCTCCCATGCAATTCCCTCAATATCTGTGTAGGACACCAATGTGTATTTTTAAGCGTGCTTTAAAGGCGACAGAAAGGAGGACAATAACTTGATCCAAAATACAATTAATCTTAACAAGATTTGGAATTTATTAACTATGCATCGATTCGTTATGCGCTATTGACGCACTATGCACATGATGCGAACCAACGGCGGCGGATGATATAATAATTTCTTGACAACAATGTACATCCAACTCATGAAAACTCTCAGGCAACAGTAACAGCACACATTTACATTATCCCGTAGTTCACCAGCTTAACACAGCGACCCGCTTGTCGAAAATTACAGAACACTGATGACAAAACAGATGCAGAACCCCGTGATATCAAAACGGGTATGAAACTTGATTTGAAGCTTTTGTGACTGCAGGAATTCATACTCTTTGGTTCTTTCGGTAAAGTTACGTAGGTAGAAAAAATAATAGAGCACGACGTTTCGATCACAACACAAGCAACCGTCATCAGGTATGAAACAAACAGCAGGAGTACTGCTGACGTAGGAGAAAGAGCTGCTGCAACGAGAGTTTATATAGGATTTTGGTGGGCCCAAGCCAAGGGTAAGTGGGCGAAGCTAAAGAAGGAATTTGTACGTAAATGCAAATGTGAAAGATTAGCATGTCAATTTGAGATTGCCCAGCCAATGGAGGTGTGCCAATCAGAAGATTAGCATGTCAATGTCAGAGAGCCGGGCAACAGGAACAAAAAAAACCCTAAGAACAAGAGGTACACATGGTGAGAGGGAGACACAGAGAGAGGGAGACACACACAGAGTCAGAAATAACTGCTGACATAGGCAGGTAGGATGAAAACATCACAGTCAGTTAAGACTTTACTAAGTGAATAACGTCCTTCCAATGATTGCTCAGTTTGTACCCATCTTCTCGGTTGAAGTTGTGTCTGTGTTTATATATCTGGATGGCTTCATGAAAAAATCTCTGATGATAGCAGGTGGGTTTGCAGAGTACCTTCGTCTTGGAAAAATCAATTTCGTGTGAGCCCACAGCGATAAAACAATGATCAGCAATGGCAGAGGTATTGGTCCTACCGTGTTTCAGATCTGCCTTGTGTTCGCGAACACGGTCCGAGACATGTCATTTCGTTTCCCCAATGTAACTGCTACCGCAGCCACAAATTAGTTTGTAGACACCAGGGTATTGCGTGTCAGAAATCACATCCTTTACAGATGGGATCAAATCACGGATTTTGTGTACTGTGTTGAAACGAACCTGGATCTTGTGTGTGTTTAAGATTTTGGAAATCTTTTGGTAATCCCTGCTGTGTATGGCACAGTGATGGTTTTGATTGGATCCTCAGATGGTTGTCTCCCCATGGCTGGGGAGACAGCTTTGCAGATTGTATGGTCAGAATATCCATTCATTCTGAGGGCTTGGTGTACGTGCTCCAGCCTACTGGCTAGGTGGGTGGTGCTGGTCGGAGATGCAACGGGTCCTATGGTGTAGTGTTTTGATGAGGGAATTCTTCTGGGCTGGATGGTGGTGGGATTCAGGCTTTAGATAGGCATCTGTGTGGGTGGCTTTCCTGTAGACAGTGTCGCAACGAGCCATCAGGTCTCTTCTCGATCAAAACATCCAGGAATGGTAGCTTGCCATCTTTTTACACTTCCATAGTGAATTTAATAGATGGGTGTATGGAATTGATGTGGTTGAGAAATTGGTTCAGTGCTGGCAGGCCATGTGGCCAGATGACGAATGTGTCATCTATGTATCTCTTCCACATGGAAGGACGTAGGGTAGATGTCTGGATGGCTTCTGTCTAAAATTGATCCATGAAAACATTCGCTACCACTGGTGATAAGGGAGAACCCATTGGGGTACCCTCATTTTGTTTGTAGAATGTACCATTCCAGTTGAAGTTAGTGTAGGTAAGGCAGTGCCTTACCAAAGTTGGTCCATCTGGATTCAGTCCCTGTTGGACCAAGTCTTCAATTATTGCAATGGTGTCAGGTATAGTTACCTTGGTGAATAGGGAGACTACATCGAAACTGACAAGCAAATAATCTGGAGACAGTGAGATGTCCTTGATTAGAGAAACCAAGTGAGCTGAGTTAAGTACAGCTGAGGTGGTCTTGCCTGTGAAAGGAAGCAGGGTCTCGGACAGAAATCGGTCCAGTTTCTAGGTGGGCAAGTTAATGCTGGACACGTTAGGACGGAGAGGGGTACCTTCTTTGTGGATTTTTGGTAGGCCATAACATCTTGGTGGTCTAGCAGCCAAAGGTTTTAGAGAGAGCTGTTTGGTCGGTTCGATTAGCGAAGTCCAATTAGTGATGATAGTATTGGGTTTCGTGGCTAGGTGGTTGGTGGGATCTCTATTGATTTTGGAATAAGCTTCCATCATTAAGAAGGTCCTGAATTTTGTTGTTGTAAGTGGTTTTATCCATGACGAGCTTATATACCCGGGCAAAAAAATATTTGAAAACTACTCTTAAAAATCGAACAGCAGTGCATACTGACTGTGGTGGTACCTGCTATCACTACAATAGTACATGCTGACTCTATAGCAGTATTTAATCGACTCTATAGCACAAAGTACTCACCTGACAGAGTGGCGTGGTGAGGCCTATTCCCATGCAGAGCCTCCGGCCTTGCCTCGATTGTCCAGCCGGCCGAAGTGGCACCTTGGCAGGCTGCGGCTGTGCTGCTACCCCTGACACCCCCGCCCCCAGCCATGATCTCCCTGGCTGCTCTGCAATAATATCTACAGCCTATAGTGGTAGCATCTATCGACCGTATAGTAGTAACTGCACGCATCAGGGTGGGGGGGACATCACACAGTGAAGAATTTACCTGAGCATTTAGTGTATTTTTATCGTATTTTTAACACGAAAGAAAATGTCCCCCTCACTCCCACCAAAGGAGTGCGAGTTGGTATGGTCGTGCATGCGTCATAAGTAAATAAATAAAAAGGAAGCGCACAAAAATCGCACTAAATAGCTCATTAAACTAATTAAAAGTTCACGGATGTGAAAAAGGAATAGCATTTGCTCACGGGGGGGCTTACGGCGTGGTACATGGCTATTTTTAGTTTACGTGAACCCCACCGTTGGAGAGCCAAATCCTTCGCAAGCGCGCAAATACACAAACAAACCCCGCCACAAACCACACACAAACAATTTTTTACTTTTATATATACAGTGAGGGAAAAGTATTTGGTCCCCTGCTGATTTTGTACGTTTGCCCACTGACAAAGAAATGATCAGTCTATAATTTTAATGGTAGGTTTATTTGAACAGTGAGAGACAGAATAATAACAACAAAATCCAGAAAAACGCATGTCAAAAATGTTATAAATTGATTTGCATTTTAATGAGGGAAATACGTATTTGACCCCCTCTCAATCAGAATGATTTCTGGCTCCAAGGTGTCTTTTATACAGGTAATGAGCTGAGATTAGGAGCACACTCTTAAAGGGAGTGCTCCTAATCTCAGCTTGTTACCTATATAGAAGACACCTGTTCACAGAAGCAATCAATCAATCAGATTCCAAACTCTCCACCATGGCCAAGACCAAAGAGCTCTCCAAGGATGTCAGGGACAAGGTTGTAGACCTACACAAGGCTGGAATGGGCTACAAGACCATCGCCAAGCAGCTTGGTGAGAAGGTGACAACAGTTGGTGCGATTATTTGCGAATGAAAGAAACACAAAAGAACTGTCAATCTCCCTCGGCCTGGGGCTCCATGCAAGATCTCACCTCGTGGAGTTGCAATGATCATGAGAACGGTGAGGAATCAGCCCAGAACTACATGGGAGGATCTTGTCAATGATCTCAAGGCAGCTGGGACCATAGTCACAAAGAAAACAGTTGGTAACACACTACGCCGTGAATGACTGAAATCCTCCAGCACCCGCAAGGTCCTCCTGCTCAAGAAAGCACATATACATGCCCATCTGAAGTTTGCCAATGAACATCTGAATGATTCAGAGGACAACTGGGTGAAAGTGTTGTGGTCAGATGAGACCAAAATGGAGCTGTTTGGCATCAACTCAACTCACTGTGTCTGGAGGAGGAATGCTGCCTATGACCCGAAGAACACCATCCCCACCGTCAAACATGGAGGTGGAAACATTATGCTTTGGGGGTGTTTTTCTGCTAAGGGGACAGGGCAACTTCACAGCATCAAAGGGATGATGGACGGGGCCATGTACCGTCAAATCTTGGGTGAGAACCTCCTTGCCTCAGCCAGGGCATTGAAAATGGGTCGTGGATGGGTATTCCAGCATGACAATGACCCAAAACACACGGCCAAGACAACTAAGGAGTGGCTCAAGAAGAAGCACATTACGGTCCTGGAGTGGCCTAGCCAGTCTCCAGACCTTAATCCCATAGAAAATCTGTGGAGAGAGCTGAAGGTTCGAGTTGCCAAACGTCAGCCTCGAAACCTTAATGACTTGGAGAAGATCTGCAAAGAGGAGTGGGACAAAATCCCTCCTGAGATGTGTGCAAACCTGGTGGCCAACTACAAGAAACGTCTGACCTCTGTGATTGCCAACAAGGGTTTTGCCACCAAGTACTAAGTCATGTTTTGCAGAGGGGTCAAATACTTATTTCCCTCATTAAAATGCAAATCAATTTATAACATTTTTGACATGCGTTTTTCTGGATTTTGTTGTTATTCTGTCTCTCACTGTTCAAATAAACCTACCATTAAAATTATAGACTGATAATTATTTTGTCAGTGGGCAAACGTACAAAATCAGTAGGGGATCGAATACTTTTTTCCCTCACTGTACACCAGAGGAGTAGCAGGAGAAGGACGTCTGCCCCTTGCAACCGCCGGTCGTAGAAGGGTGGTGCGACCTCACCGGGCGCCTCATGGGCCTGCTCTCCGTCGCAGCTGGTCATCCAGCTCGGGTCCTCGGCGCCTACCGGAGATGCTGCAATACGAGGGTCTCGTGGTGGACGCCTCGCCTTCCGCCGCCACACCAGCGCGGGAAACGGTGAAGTTCCCGCCCGCGCAGGTGGCCGCCATTTTGAACGCCGCGGGCATGGTGCAGCAAGTGACCGCCATTTTGTCGTCCGAGTGGGAAATTCTTCCCGCCAAATTCAAGTCACCATCGGTGGCTTCTGTCTCTACAGAAGCGCTTGCCTACTGTCTGCAAGTTCGTGGCCGCGAGGGGTGACTGGATGCCTTTTCGGCGCTGTTTCAAGCAGCTTGCACCCTGGTCGGGTGGTCAGATGCAGAAGCGCTACAGGTTCTGCCCATGGCGCTGGATGTCGACTCCCTGGCGGCGTTTGAGGCCATCCCCTAAGCTGACCGGGCAACTCTACCTCGGGCATGCGCTCAGATGGCTGCTATTTTTGATCCACCGTCCAACGTGCATCGAAGGCTCTAGCAGGGTCCTGCTAGATTCAGACATGGTGATCTTAACTTTGACTATTAGTGATCCATCACATTATACTTGAGACAAATGTCATGATTAGTAATAAAGAGCAGGCTCTTAACCATACAAAATCGAAACCTTAAATTTCAAAATCTCGTATTTTGTGCAGGTAGGCTTTCTCGTGCATCCTGGATTTTCTCTCAAAAATGTGATGATCTATCTACATTGCACTCGCAAGAAAGTCACAACTCACAGGGCTCCCAGCCTGCATGAAGGATGAACACTTATTGCACATATGGTAAGATCCTTTCATGCTGCTCGCAAAGCTAAAGGAGACCGCAGGTGAGTGCGGCTCAACCTGCAGCTTTGTCACAGCTGCGAGTGACACTTGGCTCATGTGAGCGGGGAGAGCCACTTTGTTCAACTTATAGTCAATGAATATTAGGATTGGCATTGAATGCTTCAGCAACTCAAATGGCCTTACATCACATCTCCTCTCAATCATTCTCATGTCCAGCTGTGATTTTTAGTCAAGGGAACCCTCTGATGACAACTGTCTCTGTGCGGCACACGGTGAATGCAGTACCAGGCCACGAGTCGGTTTTCAAGTTAGGGGGTGAAATTGTTTTTGCTAATTTAATAACTTGCAAGTAATTTTTGTAATGTTGCCAAACATTAACAATGTCATGCATTGTGTTTGTAGATCTGCAGTCAATGGAGGACCTTCAGTCTGAGGAAAATGAGCTTCGAATGAATGGAGATGATGTTCTAGCTGACAGAGAAAACCTGGTCCTTAGAGGAGATCATCTGGCTGAAGGAGAGGAAATTCATGCTGAAAGAGGAAGCCCTCATTCTAATGGATATGACGTTCTGGATGACGGAGATGATCTTCAGAAGTACAAAGAGATCCTTCAGGTTGATGAGGAAGACCTTGGATGTGAAGGAGAAGACCTGCAGGCTGAAGGAGAAGACGTAAGGGATGATGAAAATAACTTGCAGGGTGATGGAGAGGACCTGCAAGTTAATGGAGAGCACTTGCAGGCTGACAGAGATGACCTGCAGGGTGACAGAAATAGCCTGCAGGGTGACGGAGAGGACATCATCCGGCGTGATGGCTCCAGCGTGACACCTGGAGAGATGTGGGTATCGCGGGGAGGCTGCGCAGCATCGGCGACCTGGACCGAGGTGGAGGTGGTGCAGCCAGAGGACTCGCGCGATGGTGAGGAACAGGGTTTCTGTCTTGTGATAGGTAACTCTTCCAGATGAGCTTTACACCATTGGAACCTCATTTGCCAGTAACAAAATATGAGAATTGTTTTTTTACCCTTTTATCTGGCAACAAAACTGACACCTTTTTTTCAAGGACCGTGCATACATTATCAGAGTTATGTTTTTTGTTTGCATTATGACTGCAGGTATTGTGGTCAATGCAAACATGACTCCTTGTAAAAAAGGTGTCAGTTTTGTTGCCAGATAAAAGGGTAAAAAAACAATTATCAGATGAGCTTTGTTGGGTGCTTGCCATTCTAGACTCTCACAGGAACATAAAAATGGTGTTGACATCATGTAAGGTTAAATTTAGCTCCATTTGGTTTCATATTTTTTAACCAGACTACAGTTGCCTGCTTCCATCTGTTAAAATTACTACATTTCTGTTTAGCATCACCCATGTGGACGCCTTCATTTTTCAGAAGAGACACTGTCGTTGTTTAATGTGATGCAGACAACGCCATTACTTTTTAAATTAGATAATATAAAATGCATAGACACTGCCCGGCCATTTGGCGTTTGAGTGCGCTCCTTGTCTCCTTTGGGCACTCCAGCAGCCTCCCACACTCAGGTAAGGTCCACCTTGTACTTGGCAAGTAAAGTATCATACCTGGACAGCAATGAAACATGGGCTAACGTTGACTAAGATGGGCATCATTAGGTGATGCAGTTCAGACCAATTATTATCAGACTGGCAAAGCTCACCACGTGTTTTAAAACGTTCCCCAATTGGGGCTTTAGACATTTTGACCTTCATGAGCTCTTAATAAAAGTCCCTTTCTGTGTTCTTCCCATCAGCAGGAAGGATATTGGTGGAAACCCAGAGGCTCAAGTGTCCCCTCTGCTGCCAGAGCTTCCTGTCGGAGAGCAACCTACACAGCCACACAGTGCAGTGTGGCCAGGATTCCAGTAGCAGCCAGAGGCAGCAGATACCCAATGCTGGTGGTGGCTCCCGCCAGGTCACCGTACGAGGGGAGGCATTCACACAGCCAGAGGAGCTCCACGCACAGCGCACGATGCATGCTGTCACCAGCATTAGCAGTGGCAGCAGCGTCCCACATGTGTACCCTGAGTGTGGGGAGTTGTTCACAGATCCGGAGGAGATGCAAGCTCACTGTGTGGCTCGCATTGCCAAACGGCCGCATGTATGTGCTGAGTGTGGGGAGGCATTTGCGTGGGCTGAGCAGCTGCAGTCACACAGGGGGGCACATGCGCGTGAGAAGCCGCATGTTTGCGAGAAGTGTGGGAAGGCATTTGCAGTGTCCTCAAACCTCCAGATGCACTTGGTAACGCACACAGGTGGGCGACCGCATGCGTGCACCGAGTGCGGGAAGTCATTCACGCGGCCCGAGTTGCTGGAGAGGCACCGGCGTTCGCACACGTGGGATAAGCCGTACATGTGCTTTGAGTGCGGAAAGGCATTCACGCAGCTTGGCAACCTCCAGAACCATGAGCGCACGCACACGGGTGAGAAGCCGCACCTGTGCCCCGAGTGTGGTAAGGCTTTCGCTGACCTCTCGAGCCTCCAGCAGCACCGACGCATCCACACGGGCGAGCGACCGCACCGCTGCTCGGAGTGCGGGAGGGCGTTCAAACAGTCGGGCAGCCTCCAGCGGCACCAGCGCACGCACACGGGCGAGCGGCCCCACCGCTGCTCGCTGTGCGGCAAGGCCTTCGCCTTGGCCCACACCCTGCAGCAACACCGCAAGGTGCACACGGGCGAGAAGCCGCACGCGTGCCCCGAGTGCGGGAAGGCCTTCGCACAGGCTGGGAACCTGCAGCAGCACCTGAGGACGCACGCACGTAGGAAGCCCTTCAAGTGCTTCGAGTGCGGCAAGGCCTTCACGCAGCCCCGGGGTCTCAAGAAGCACCAGAGGGTACATGCCACAGGGGCTATTGGGCAGTGACATCCATATACAGAACATTCGGTGGAAAATATTTATGCTACCGATCATAGCATGCAACCATATCACCATGATTTATTTGGGAAATGGATCAAGTGGAGTTGAAATGGGCCCAAGAATTGGTTATTGGAGACGGAAAAAATTGCTTCGATGGCCATAGCTGTCATTCTGTAAAGATTGCATAGTTTAATAAGCAAATATGTGCAGATATAGGGCACATTGGACATTGGCCTGTGTTAATTGTTAAATAACAATCTCTTGTCATGCTTTACTCTGTTTAATAAGCTACAGACCATTAAAATGCAACGTTGAAAGCAGAAACCACAAAAAGAGGCTTCAGACTGTATGAAACTTTCCTGGTTCACCATTTAAAGTTCCAAGTACAGGTAGTCCCAATAATCTGTTTTTACGCGATTTACAGAGGGGGACAGACCCCAATCAACGTGTTCTACTTAACAAGATTTCACACATTTTAGTGGAATTTTCCACCACATTTCCTTATATAGTGCAGTACTCAAGCATGAGGCAATATGATTGTTGCGGGCAGAAGCAGCGAGCCACCCCACTCAGTCTTTGTTCTGCCTCGTGCTAGCTCAGACGTGTGTGCGTTTATCTCAATTCTATACCTTTTAATTTTCTTTAATCAAAATAATGTTCATAATGTGCGGTAGAGGTAAGAAGCATAGTGGTGATGCTTCAAGTGGTAGTGCAAGTAAGAAAAGTGGCAACAAAACAAAAGCGTAATGTGCTTGAGTGCTATGAGAACAATGCACATGTAATATTTTCCGGGCTACTGGCTTGCACGAAGGTACACTAAGAACCATCCGACAGAATGGGGACAAAATTAAATAAAGTTGCGGCCAGATCATCTCACACAAGGCCACTCCACCCATCACATCTCACATGCACAGACTACAGTAATCTCTACTTAAGGTTACCTTTATCATTGTGTCTTTAACAAATATATTATTCCTGCCAAAAATACACATGGGAAATAATAAAAAGCATTAGCCAAAACATAGTCATAATAAATGGGTAATAATACATCTCCATCGAGTTGGGGGCTTGGAACGTAACCCCCCTCCTCGTTACATTATTTCTTGCGGGAAGTTAGTTTTCAATTTACACAATTTAACCTTACATGAAGATGTTCAAGTACGTATTTATCGTGTTAATGAGTATAATTGTAATGTATAAATATTAAACTTGGATTATATCATTCTATAATTGCATCCCTATACACAGATGTAACAATGTAATACTTGAACTCAGGATTACTAAATATTTGTGAAGCTAATCTTACGGTAATGCCCTACAAATGTTTTATTTGTAAGCTTCATGGTTAGGAAAAATAAAAATTCCAACTGACCAATGTTTGAATTCGCATCTCACAAAATAGAAAAATCCCCTGTATCGCCTTAACAATGTTGGGGCAAGTGCTGTTAGCGAGTAGCACCTATGAAGGCCACCACGGCACACGAGGGGGTAGGTGGCCAGCACCACTCCCACCGTCTTTGTCTCCCCAACGGTCACCAGATACTTATTTGAGTACCTCACACACAACAAGAGCTGCCATTCACCACTGAATGGTGGTGACATCTCCAGGGTGCTTGTGCCAAGCCAGATGCACTTTGAGGTCATGTGAAGTGTCGAAAGCTCGCTGACAGAAGGTCACGGGACAGACCCAGATGTCATGGGTCGACTGAGATGACTGGCAGATATACCATTACTGTGCCAACTTGCTGCATTTTTTTCTGCCCGGAGCTCCGCTCTTTGTTGTGAGTGTTGCTCCACTGCCCTCCGTTGTTTTTGGAGGGTGACTGCCACCAACTGCCCAGCAGCGTCCTTCACATGTCTCCTCCATAGAGGCCGATCGTGACACCGCTAATACCAGTCTTAGGCGAGTCCATTCAGCACCACATCCTCTTGTACCACATCAGTCCATCTCTTTTCCAGACGGTGTCGTGCCCATTTAGCCCCCACTATCTGGCCAAACAAAAGCTGTTTGGGCATACGGTGGCTGAGCATGTGGGCTACATTACCCAACCATACAGCCTTCCTTGCCAGAGGAGCTCACCGATGGGACTATATCCAGATCTGTAAAGGATTTGTGAGCTCACATTCCAGTCTGGTTAAACCCAGGATGGATCATATGTAGGCCAGCCTGAATGTTGCTAACTTGTGCAGATGTTCCATTAAAGGGATCTATGTTTCACAAGCATAGAGAAGGGAGGGCATGACTGGCAGAGAAGACCCCAAGCTTTGTGCGGAGCGACAGACCAGGTAGCTTTCACATAGCATTACAAAGCTGATGAAAAGATTGTTCTGCCCAACTAATTCGCAGTGAGACCTTTGCTGTCGAGCCAGAGCTGGTCATAAGCACACTGCCCAGGTATGGAAAACTCTCCACAACTGCTCCATCACCAATGGGGAGTTAAGGGGGTGGAGTGTTTCATGACGCAACATACCCAGGCAGGTGCTAAGTGTTGGTGAGGCTGATGGCAAGGCCCCACCTCTTAGTAACATGCTCCAGATTTTGACTTAAAACTTTCATGACTGCAGGAATTCATATTCTTTGGTTATTTCGGTAAAGCCACGTAGTTAGAATAATAATAAAGTGAAGAAAAATGTAAGTAAAAAAACACGACGTTTCGATCGCAACACAAGCAGTCTTCAGGAAAAGAGGGGTTAGCCTCTAAAGGCAAGCTGTTTATAAAGGTTTAAAATGGGCGTAGCCAAAGTGTCAGCAGCATTGGGGGGCAGGTAATGTTCATTTTGTTGACGGTGGAGGTTGCTGCTAGAGGTAATGGTAGTAGTGGGCAGCGATGGTCCTGGTGGTGGGCTTCCACCAATGAAAGGGATTCCAGGTCTAAAATGGAAACATTACAGCCAGTTATGACTTGAACTGGTTGATAACGTGCTTCCAGTGATTTCTGAGTTTGTACCCATCTTCTCGGTTGAAATTGTGTCTATGTTTGTATATATGGATGGCCGCCTTTGTCTCCCGAGTAGTGACATTCACACATTGCACCAGGTATTCATTTGAGGCGAAGTCAGTTTTCAGTTTCATGTATTAGGTATAACCCTGTGAGCCATGCGGCTCTTGACTCGGGTGCAACCGCAACAACCAAAAACATGAACAAGAAACATCTTAAAGTGACTACACGCGACAGAAAAATCCAGGAAGAAACAGCAAAGTCTCTTAGATTAAAGTTATCAGGCTAACTCTGTACTACAACAACAAACATGGCTAAACCAAAACGTTTTCAAAATCACCAAAATAAAGCTATAAAAACAATGTAACAGTGATCATAGAAACTGTGATTCAAATTTAACAATAAACGATATACATAACATGTATGACCAAACTTTGCAACCGAAGCTGGCAGCATGAGTCACTCCATAAAAGCAGGAGTATCAGTAGCAGTATCAACATTTTTCAATACACCTTTAAAGATCAGCACACTATAATCAAAACTCAAGATCATACTTTGCAGCAATCACCCGGAATTATACATTTGATTTTAGACCATTCTGAATAGCAGTGGCAGCTAGGGGTGTACACCTCCTCTAGAGCAGTTTTGAGTGAAGATCTCACAGGTAGTGATCCAAGTTGCAGTTTATTGGCGATAGCATTCCAGATCCTGGAGGCATCAATAGAAAAGGCCCTTCCTCCAGTATTTGTACGGCAATAAGGAATGTGAAGCTGGTAAATGAGCGAAAGATCTTAGTTCACATTTGTTCTTCGAAACAGTGAGGAGATCTAGCAGATAGTCTGCTGATTTTTTTTGTAAGTACATCGTGAATAAGTCGAACTAGCGGAGGCTGAGGACCAATTCGGATAATCGTTACTTGTGTTGGCGATCAGCGGAAATTGAACTCGTGTCGCTGGGTTCTTTGCGCAGTGTGCTAACCGTTGTCCTACCGCTCCCCTTGGAAATGCACGCCCCCACTGACACTTCAGGTTCACCACACTACACGCTACTCGCTCAACCTCACTGCATTCACCCTCACACTGCAATACTTATCACACCCATACACTGCCCTATACACCAGACAAAATTTGATATGCTACACTGTACAAACTAAATTAAACCAAAAACTACACTATACGTCACACATCACTGTACACTATACTATACGCCACCATACTTTACCCATCTACCTCTCTTATAAACTACAGCATTTTACATGTACCAACGCACACATTCACTCACATCTGATTTGTTACGTCACGACTGAGCTGCACACCACGTGATACGGATCATATTACATCAAGGACATCAGGTGTGTTTGTGACGTCATCACTTCCTGTCAGTGATATAAATAGAGGCTCACGTTCCTCGAGTTCTTCCAGTCACATCTTCATCAATGTCCAAATCAGTAGCCCAAGCAGCTGCTGCGAATCATAACTGCTCACATGTAAACAATTGTTCCGAGTGGAGACGGGAGAAAGCGTTTTTTTTCGTCAAAGACCAGCTTTACATTGTTCAAAATAAAATATGAACTTTTTTTCGAAGCAACTGGTGAGACAGGAATCGAAGATGTTGCCTACCAATGAAATTTTAGATGATCACACAAACAACACCAACAGCAACAATGATAGCACACAGTCTAACTCACGGTTCATGTACTGGGTGTTAGTCATTAAGGATAAGGTCATCCCTTTGATTTCCATGCTCTATAATGCTTACAAATTTTTGGACTCCATACGTCAAACTCCACAAATTCAAATGCAAAACAAGAATAACGACGTGAAGAAATTGCTAAGGATGAACTGCCGTTGTAGATATATAGCCAAGATGCACAGAATGAAGAGGAAGTTGGTCTCCATACGTCATCAGCAAATAAAGAAACACACAAAGGCGACCCAGACAGATCACTCTGCTCCCCCAAGCCAAGAAATTACAGATATGGTGCTGAGCAGGCCTATTGTCGGCCAGATCCCAGCTGCCAGCGGCATCATGTGGACGGGATGGGCCATGGTGAAACCACTGCAACGGGGTGTCCAGTTTGTCGTCCTTGGTCTCAGCAGGCTGGTGCCTAGGGCGTTCTGGCAAGTTGGCCCGAGGGCAAATACACCCACCCTGCTTCGCAACTGACAGAGATGGAACTTGGCTCACCCCTCCCAGATATTGACATAGTCAGACGATAAATTACTGAGATGTTCTGTCCCAATGTGGTGTTTTGTTGCATTAAAACACCACACGATGGCAGAGCAACAATAAAACCGTGGCCATGGGAAGATTCTGACATTGTGCCATGCTCATTATAACCTATTCTCGGCAGTGTTATGCCTCTGCTCACCTTCGCCTGCGCCATCGTGTCTGTTCACCCATTTGACCTTCTGGCATGTGGTGTTGAGTAATATGCAAATACACGGGCTTCTAAATGCACACACCCTGATAGATCACATTCAATTACCAAACGTATTCTGTGGCTTCTTTCGTCTCAGAGATAATTTGCCCACCAATGTTTTAAATAGCTTGCTTGGATGGGAACGTGTTCGAGAAAGTATGGCATTCATTGATAAAGTCTGTAGTTTATGAAAATATTTTAATTGTTGTGACTTGTAAGTATGTTAGGCTTCTTTGAAATTGTTTCTGAAATACATGAAATTGTTTCCTGTAAGATAATGTTTTATTATAAAGCAGAAAATACCTCCGTTTGTTTGTGTGAAGCAGCAAAAACTCTCGATCGCTGAGCTCTGGCGTCATGAAATTAGCACAGCTTATGCTGTCTGGAATTTCTAAGTCAACGCGACTATTGTCAGCTCGCTACGTCATTCCCTTCCCGAGTTGCCAAAATCGACCTTATGTATAAGTGGGTTCAGGCCAACAAAGTGTTACCACGTGACGTATTACAATACCCCCACGGTGTTACCACGTGATACATTACTCACAATACCCATACAGTGTCACAACGTGATGCATTACCCACAATACCCCCACAGTGTGACCACGTGATGCATTACTCACAATATCCATACAGTGTCACAACGTGATGCATTACCCACAATACCCCCACAGTGTGACCACGTGATGCATTATTCACTATTTCCCCAAGGTGTTAGTGACCACGTGATGCATTACTCATAATACTCCCACGGTGTTACCACGTGATGCATTATTCACAATACCCCCACAGTGTTACCACGTGATGCATTACTCATAATACCCCAGTGTTACCACATGATGCATTACTCATAATACCCCAGTGTTACCACGTGATGCATTACTCATAATACCCCCACAGTGTTATCACGTGATGAATTACTCACAATACACCCACAGTGTTACCACGTGACGCATTACTCACAATTCCCCCCACAGTGTTACCACGTGATGCATTACTCACAATACCCCCACAGTATTACCACAGGATACATTACTTACAATTCCCACAGTGTTACCATTTGATACATTACTCATAATTACCCCCACGGTGTTACCACGTGATACCCGAGTCACACCCCCACAGTCTTACCACGTGATGCATTACTCATAATACCCCCACAGTGTTACCACGTGATACCCTAATCACAATACCCCCACGGTGTTACCACGTGATGCATTACTCACAATACCACCACATGTGTTACCACGCGACACATCTTAATTATAAAGCAGAAAATACATCTGTTTGTTTGTGTGAAGCAGCAAAAACTCTCGAACGCTGAGCTCTGGCGTCATGAAATTTGCACAGCGTATGCTGTCTGGATTTTCTAAGTCAACGCGACTATTGTCAGCTCGCTACGTCATTCTCTTGCCGAGTTGCCAAAATCAACCTTATGTATAAGTGGGTTCAGGCCACCACAGTGTTACCACGTGACATATTACTCATAATACCCCCACGGTGTTACCACGTGATACATTACTCACAATACCCCCACAGTGTTACCACGTGATGCATTACTCACAATACCCATACAGTGTCACAACGTGATGCATTACTCACAATACCCATACAGTGTCACAACGTGATGTATTACCCACAATACCCCCACGGTGTTACCACGTGATACATTACTCACAATACCCATACAGTGTCACAACGTGATGCATTACCCACAATACCCCCACGGTGTTACCACGTGATACATTACTCATAATACCCCCATAGTGTTATCACGTGATGAATTACTCACAATACACCCACAGTGTTACCACGTGGTGCATTACCCACAATACCCCCACAGTGTGACCACGTGATGCATTACTCACTATACCCCCACAATGTTACCACGTGATACATTACTCACAATACCCCCACAGTGTTACCACGTGATACATTACTCACAATTCCCCCCACAGTGTTACCACGTGACGCATTATTCACAATACCCCCACAGTGTTACCACGTGATGCATTACTCATAATTACCCCCACGGTGATACCACGTGACACGTTACTCACAATATCCCCACGGTGTTACCACGTGATACCCTAGTCACAATACCCCCACGGTGTTACCTCGTGATACCCTAGTAACAATACCCCCACTGTGTTACCACGTGATACCCTAGTAACAATACCCCCACAGTGTTACCACGCGACACATCTTAATTATAAAGCAGAAAATACATCTGTTTGTTTGTGTGAAGCAGCAAAAACTCTCGAACGCTGAGCTCTGGCGTCATGAAATTAGCACAACTTATGCTGTCTGGAATTTCTAAGTCAACGCGACTATTGTCAGCTCGCTACGTCATTCTCTTGCCGAGTTGCCAAAATTAACCTTATGTATAAGTGGGTTCAGGCCACCACAGTGTTACCACGTGACGTATTACAATACCCCCACGGTGTTACCACGTGATACATTACTCACAATACCCCCACAGTGTTACCACGTGATACATTACTCACAATACCCCCACAGTGTTACCACGTGATGCATTATTCACAATACCCCCATAGTGTTACCATGTGATACATTACTCACAATACCACCACAGTGTTACCACGTGACACATTACTCAGAATACCCCAACAGTGTTATCACGTGATGCATTACTCACAATACCCCCACAGTGTTACCACGTGACGCATTACTCACAATACCCCCACAGTGTTACCACGTGACGCATTACTCACAATTCCCCCCACAGTGTTTCCACGTGATGCATTACTCATAATACTCCCACAGTATTACCACAGGATAAATTACTTACAATTCCCACAGTGTTACCACTTGATACATTACTCATAATTAGCCCCACGGTGATACCACGTGACACGTTACTCACAATACCCCCACAGTGTTACCACGTGATACATTACTCATAATACCCCCACAGTGTTACCATGTGACGCATTACTCACAATACACCCACAGTGTTACCACGTGACGTATTACTCACAATACCCCCACAGTGTTACCACGTGACGTATTACTCACAATACCCCCACAGTGTTACCACGTGACGTTTTACTCACAATACCCCCACAGTGTTACCATGTGACGCATTACTCACAATACACCCACAGTGTTACCATGTGACGCATTACTCACAATACACCCACAGTGTTACCACATGACACATTACTCACAATACCCCCACAGTGTTACCATGTGACGCATTACTCACAATACCCCCACAGTGTTACCACGTGACACATTACTCACAATACCCCCACAGTGTTACCACGTGACGTATTACTCACAATACCCCCACGGTGTTACCACGTGATACATTACTCACAATACCCCTACAGTGTCACCACGTGGTGCATTACCCACAATACCCCCACAGTGTGACCACGTGATGCATTACTCACTATACCCCAAAGGTGTTAGTGACCACGTGATGCATTACTCACAATACCCTCACAGTGTTACCACGTGACGCATTACTCACAATTCCCCCCACAGTGTTACCACGTGATGCATTACTCACAATTCCCCCACAGTATTACCACGTGACGCATTACTCATAATACTCCCACAGTGTTACCACGTGACACATTACTCATAATACCCCCACAGTGTTACCACGTGACGCATTACTCACAATACCCCCACAGTGTTACCACGTGACGCATTTCTCACAATTCCCCCCACAGTGTTACCACGTGATGCATTACTCACAATATCCCCACGGTGTTACCACGTGATACATTAATCATAATACTCCCACAGTGTTACGCGATACTTTACTCACAATACCCTCACAGTCTTACCACGTGATGCATTACTCACAATACACTCACAGTGTTACCACGTGACGCATTATTCACAATACCCCCACAGTATTACCACAGGATACATTACTCACAATTCCTCCCACAGTGTTACCACGTGACACGTTACTCACAATACCCCCACGGTGTTACCACGTGACACGTTACTCACAATACCCCCACAGTGTTACCATGTGACACGTTACTCACAATACCCCCACAGTGTTACCACGTGATACCCGAGTCACAATACCCCCACGGTGTTACCACGTGACACATTACTCATAATACACCCACAGTGTTACCACGCGACACATCTTGATTATAAAGCAGAAAATACATCTGTTTGTTTGTGTGAAGCAGCAAAAACTCTCGAACGCTGAGCTCTGGCGTCATGAAATTTGCACAGCTTATGCTGTCTGGAATTTCTAAGTCAACGCGACTATTGTCAGCTCGCTACGTCATTCTCTTGCCGAGTTGCCAAAATCAACCTTATGTATAAGTGGGTTCAGGCCACCACAGTGTTACCACGTGACGTATTACTCACAATACCCCCACGGTGTTACCACGTGATACATTACTCACAATACCCCCACAAAGACTGCATGTCTGAAGACATTTTGAATATACTTCGACGAGATAATCCTCAAATGACTTTGGAATTCACTGATGACGTCTATAATGAGGCACTTATAATGATTTAAGATAAAGTTTTGGAGATGATTGCAACGTTTTTGTCGGATATCGGCATGAAAAGTCCTTCACGACAGCAAGCAGTGAACATAACTCGAGAAAGAGTTGTCAGATGACTCTGACAAAATGCTGTCTTACGTCACGCAGAACGAGCAACTGTTGAATGCAGAGCAACAAACACTTCATCAAGAGGTTCTACGACGACATTAAATCAACGAAGGCGAAGTAATTTTCATCAACGCACCTGGAAGAACCGGAAAGACTTTTTTGATAATTTTGTTGCTGGCCCGCATCAGAGGAGAAAAGAAGATTTCACTTGCTGTTGCATCTTCTGGCATCGCGGTATCGTTGATGACTAGTGAACGAACAGAGCGTTCAACGCTTCAAATCCCGATTGACTTGGTCCATAATGAAGTGCCTGTTTTCAACATCAAGAAAGGAAGTGGAAAGGCCAAAGTACTGCTGGAAGCTAAAGCGTTATTCTGGGATGAAATCTCGATTATGCATTAGCACGGATTTTAGCCAGTCAACATGGCACTGCAAGACATTCGTGGCGATAAAATTCTCATGGGCGGTTTGATTTTTGTCCTTGCTGGTGATTTTTGCCAAACGTTACCAGTGATTCCAAGAGGCACGATGGTTGATGAGATCAAAGCCTGCCTGAAATCATCACAGTTTTGGAGAGACGTCACAACAATGTCGCTCACGACCAACATGAGAGTTCAACAATCTGATAGCTATGACTCCAATAATCTTACTGAGTATTTGCTCAACATTGGCAATGGCAAGGCAGCAACAAGTGAAACTGGAAAAATCAAGCTATCCGAAGAATTC